GTGTGTGTGTGTGTGTGTGTGTGTACATATTCATGTGTGGCTGTGTGTGTGTATGTGTTTGTGTGGGTCGTTTCACATCTGGTTACCTGTGTATATGTGTTGGCATGTGCGGAGCCTACACGTTAGTATCAGGTGTCTTCTGTGGTCACTTTCCACCTTACTGTTCTGAGACCAGGTCCCTTCACTGAAGCTGGAGCCCATCTAGTCCTCTGACTTGGCCAGCCGGTGAGCTCCAGAGATTCCTTGCCTTTCCCCTTCAGTGCCAGGGCTATAGACTAGAGATCCACAACTGGGTCCCCATGACCCCTGAAATAATTTACTTCCAACTGGGCTGGAGGAGTTTGTTTGCTGTCATCAGTTTTCTTCCTTGATTCCCTAGGGCTACATCTGCTGTTTTATAGATTCTCCCTCTCCCTCTTTGCTAGAGTTGTGTCTTCAGGTCTAAGAGGTAAACCTCTACAGTCCCTGCATGTCTTAAAGTGTCTTCTTTTTGTTATTACTGACAGCCTTAGGCAACCTGTGCTTTCTCTTTGGTGAGCTCTGGTGTCCCCAAATTTCTGGACAATTGACTTTGGTTGGGGTCTTTTTGTTTATTTCTGGGAAGGAAGTGTGGTTCTTTTCTGGTTTTGATGAGTGGCTTGCTGTTAGTTGTAAGGATGTTTAGTGGGAAGTGCCTTTTCAGGTGCTGAGTAGCAACAACGCTGCCTTCTTTTTCAGGTGTCGCCGCCTATGTCGGCTGGCAGAGCTCCTCCATCCTCAAGCCCCTGCTCCAGCAAGGCCTCAGCGATGCCGAGGAGTTTGTCATTGTGAAAGCTCTCAATGCCCTGACCTGCATGTGCCAGTTAGGGCTACTTCAGAAGCCTCATGTCTATGAATTCGCCAGCGATATTGGTAAGCTTCTGTTTTTGAGACTTAGAAATTTGGGCATGGGAATAACTTTATATAATTCTAATCTGATAGAGTAAGAAGAATACATACAAAAGAAAACATAATAATTGTCTTTTGGGTCTGTTACTTCACTCATGGTTACTTTTTTCTAGCTCCTTTCATTTACCTGAAGATTATATATTTTCATTTTTTAATTGCTGAATAATATTCCAGTGTGTAAATGTACATTTTCAGTATCTATTCTTCACTTGACAGACACCTAGGCTGTTTCCAACTTCTGACTGTTTAAATGGAGCAGCAGTGACCATGGGTGAGCGGGTGTCTCTGTAGTAGGAATTAGAGTCCTTTGGGTATATGCCCAAGAGTGGGACCTTGAGGTAGATTGAGGAACTGCCACACTGATTTCATAGCAGCTGCACCAGTCTGCACTCCCACTGGCAATGAATGGGTGTTCGTTCCCCCTTTTCCTCATTCTTGCCAGCATGTGCCTTCATTTGTTTTATTGATCAGTTTTGATTTCCATTTCCCTGATGGCTAAGTATTTCTCAGCCATTTGTGTTGCATCTTTTGAGAACTGTTCCCCATTTTTAACTGGATTATTTGTTTTCTTGATGTTTAGTGTTTTAGATCTTTATATATTTTAGATACTAACCTTTTATTGGATGAATAATTAGTGAAGATAATTTTCTACCCTTTTGCCTCCGGTGTGTGTCTGCCTCCAAGAATAAGCAGCTTTCTGTGTTTTCATTTGTCTTTGCATTTTGTTTTGTTTTTGTTTACTTAGCTTCTCTGTTTTTTATTGTAAAATTTAATCCATCTTTATTTAAAATAAATGCTTAATAAATACATATTAATGTTTTGTAATCCTTTGTACCATTCTTACTCTCTTGTATCTTTATGATTTGATGATTTTTAAAGTGCTATGCTCTCAATCTTTAAAGTTTCAGAAATTTAATTTTCATCTACACAAAACCCTACACTTTAATTTCTTCTGTCATATTTTAAGTTGTTGAATGACTTATGTATTTTATATATTGTGTATCCTTAAGCAAATTATTAGCACTAAAGTTCCAGGCTGGCTTTGAACTTGTGACCTCTTGCCTTGATTTCAGTTCTTCCAATGCTGGCCTGCCAGCCATGAGTGCCACACTGGTTTAGTACAGTGATCCTGAGACTAGAATGGTGCTGGTGTTGTGATCGTAATGATTTTCTTGGTGGTGGTTTTAGGAACTCTATTTCCTGTCATAGATAACTCTGCTCTCTCCATGCTTGTTACCAGAGAATTGGGACATACTGGAGAGAAAAGATTGAATGCTGTATTTTCTAAGAAATTCTTTCAGCTCAGACTTAAGTATGCGAGGTGCTTTGTCGGCTGCTAATTGCTGCTCTAATGCATTGTGTCAGTCAAGCACAGTCCTAGTAAACACTCCGCGCGCTTCTCGGCGGGCACCTGTGGGTTGTGTGGGTGGCTCTGCTTCAGGCTGTGCATCTCCTTTGTCTTGTGAACATGAGCCATCTGTCTCATTGTGGACCACGGTTGTCCTGCTGAGGCTGCCCCAGCTGTTCTCACGGGGTGATCAAAGCCCAGGAGAGCAAGCCTGGCTGTGAAGCACGTTCCCCTTGGTGTTACAGTCGCTAAACACTCATTGACTGAAGTAAGGACTGCGGCAGGTATGCTTACCTCAGGTGCATAGAAAGCGCATACAGGTGGGAAGCTCAGAATTGGTGATTTATCCAGCCCAGCTTTCTAGAGGTGCTCAGCAGTTTGCCAGTTCCTACTGTTGTTAGTTGTAAAGGTGCTGGGGTTGAACTTGGGCCCTGTGCATGTTAGATAAGCACTGTATCCCTGAACTCCATCATCAGCCTGTTTTTCTCCTTATGTCAAAAGAAAGAATAGCAGCCCTACCTTGTCAGATGAGATGGACCCGAGCTGTAGATGATGTGAGAAATAATCAGAACCTTCCTGGATAATGAGATGACTTTGAGAACTGTGAAGAGAGTTTATTATTTTACTGTGTATGTGTGTGTACATGCTTGTGCATGCGTGCCACTGCAGGCTTGCAGAGGTCAGAGGACAACTCTGTGGCTTGGTTCTCACTTTCACTTTACACGGGTCCCAGGCTTTTACTCTGGTGGCCAGGCTTGGTGGCAGGAGCCTTTGCCAGATGAACCATCTTGAAGCTCTGAGGAGAGGGACTTCAAGCACATCCTTCTTCTTTTCATGTAAGCACCACTGGTATGTGGGGCACTGTTAATGTCTTCGTTTCCACGGGCTTCTGATAAACAGCTCAGAGTATATTTTTGCATATTTAGAGCTCATGCCACTGTTGAGTTTTAGAGGTTTGAATTTTATTCTAAATCAAGTTAGTGTGACTTTGATTAGTTAAAATAATTGACTTAGGCTTAGTACATAAAACTATTAAAAGGAGTGAAGAGATTCAGGTTTTTGTGTGTGTTTGTGAGTGTTAATGTTATGTTTTGAACATTTTGAAGAATGGACATGATATCTTCTAATTTTTTAATTCATGATGACATGCAAAATTATGAGGTATATGCTGGATTTGACCAAACCCTGCACTAAAAAGAACATCACCCTAATCAAATTATGTCCTCAATTCTCTAGCATGGAGAAGAAACAACTCCCAGGTGTCTCTTCCTCTGCCACCCTGATAGTGTAGGGTAGAGTGGAAGGTAACCACTTCCTGCGTGGTGTTGGCATTTTTATGTCTCTGTCAGTAGTTTTTCTGTTTGTTTTTGTTTTGTTTGTTTCTCAAGACAGAGTTTCTCTGTATAGCCTTGGCTGTCCTGTACTTTGTAGATCAAGCTATCCTCACACTCACAGAGATCGGCCTACCTCTGCCTCCCCAACTGCTGGGATTACGGGCATGTGCAACTGTGCCCCGCTGTCCAGAGTTTTTAATTCAGTGCTACAGATGAGTATGTGCTAACACGCTTTCGACAGAAATTTAGGATTTTAGGAAGGTTGATTTTTATGGTGTGGCTGGTATTACAAGGGAGTGTTACAATTGTTCTATTGAGTTTCTATTTCAGGCCAGTATGTGCAGGAACCGCCTGGCACCACTGAGGCTTACTGCCTTTATCACAGTGTTGAACCAAGCATTTGTGCCCTCACAGTTGAAGGTTATGACTCTGGTTTGATCTGTTACCTTTCTTCTTTCCCTTTTAGCTCCCTTCCTGTGTCATCCTAATCTGTGGATACGCTATGGTGCAGTGGGATTTATCACAGTGGTAGCCCATCAAATAAGTACTGCCGATGTCTACTGCAAGCTGATGCCTTATCTTGACCCATATATCACGCAACCAGTAATCCAGGTACACATGCGCCAGCTTCTGAGCAGTCCTTTCCAGTGACGTCTCAGATCCTTCATGTCAGAAGAGTCCTTACCATAAAAATATATCTAAGTTGTCCGTAGCATTTTCAGATACCTTCAAGGTAATAAACTAACCTCCTACAAGACACTATTGAGAGACTGTTCTGTCACACACAGTGTGGAATGCACAAGTTCAGACTTCATTTGCTTTGTGTAATCTTGGAACTGTATCTGCTCTTGTTTTTATTTATTTATATTTTACGTTTTATTCCTTTTTTATTTTAAGCACTTGTGTGTTTTACAAGGGGGTATATTGTATACTGCATGTGTGTCTGATGCCCAGAGAGGTAAAAGGCCGTGTAGATCCCTTAGAACTCTAGTTACAGTAAGTTGTGAGCCTCCAGGGGTGTGCTGGGAGTGGGACGCTGCTCCTCTGGAGAACCAGCCAGTGCTCGTAACCCTGAGCTGCCTCTAGCCTCCAGCCCCCTCACTAGTTAGTTATTTAGCTTATTAAACCTTGATTTTATCATTGGTTTATATTTCTCAAAGCCAGAATCAAGAACTGAAGGGCTAATTATTCATGTTTCATAAATCTTACCCTTCTCCATCTTAAATTTAAACTTTCAAAAATTTTAATTTTGTATTTCTGTGTGTGTTCCTTTGTGGGTTTGTGCATGTGAGTGCAGTGCTCTCAGAGGCCAGAAAAAGGTCTTGGATTCCCCGGAGCTAGAGTTACATGCCACTCTGAGCCTCCCAGCAATGGGTGTTAGGACTCCAGCTTAGGTCCTCAGAGGAACAGTAAGCATTCGTTGTAACTGTCATGCTATCTCTCCAGTCCCTTTTTCTTCACTTTAGATTAGACAAAAGTCCCCTGTAAGTTTCAGCTGCAATAGTTAATTATATCCACAGAACGCCCTTTAGATCTGGGTGTGGTAGTCCACACACTTAGTTAATTCTGAAGAGACCAAAACAGGAGGATTGTGAGTTCATGCCCAGTCTGGGCTATGTAACGAATTCAAAGTCAGTGTAAATTGTATAATGAAATCCTGTCTCACAAAACCAGGGCCTGGGATATAGTTCAGTGGTAGAGCAATTGCCCACATGTTCAAACCACTGGGTTCTATCTCCAGTGTTGAAAAACAAGAGCTCTTTTGGTCACTGCTGGTAATATCCATCCTTTGTATTATATATGCATTGACAAGAAAATTGTTACTAAGGCCATTAAAAGAAAGTTTTGAACCCTGGAGAAAATATTTTGTAGAAGGTTTGGGTCTATTGGGAGAACATGAAAACTGAAGAGAAGCCCTGTGTCATTGGTTACTAAGATCTCTAGCCAAAGCCTGTGTCTTAGGCCTGTAACCCACAGTCTTCTGTAGCTCTGGGAAGTATTCAGATCTCTGTGGATCCGGGAGAAGCTTGCTCTGATTTTCTGAAACCTTTGGGTATGTATCATTAGTCTTCTTGTAGGGTGGACACAGATAGGTACGTAATCCTAAAAAACGGAAAATACTTAAGCCCTTTAAAATTGGCTAGTGTCCTATTTTTCTCCTAAAAAACACCAAAGAAGTACTTTTGTTAACTTTATACTGGTTGTGCTTACTGAGTTTTGAAGTAATTGTTCTGTGTACTGTATGTAGTCTTGACAATTGTTTTTACTTTTCTTTTTTAATATTTAATATTATTAATTATATTAATAATATTAATATTAATATTAATAATAATAATATTAATAATGATCACGTTGCATCCTGGCTATGGCCCCCTCTCACATTGCCTCCCAAGTCCCAACCTCCTTCCCTCTTTTCCCCCTGTGCCCCTCCCCTATTCCACTGATAGGAGAGGTCCTCTTCCTCTTCCATCTGACCCTAGCCTATCAGGTCTCATCAGGACTGGCTGCATTGTCTTCCTCTGTGGCCTGGTAAGGCTGCACCCCCCAGGGGAGGTGATCAAAGAGCCAGCCACTGAGTTCATGTCAGAGACAGCCCCTGTTCCCCTTATTAGGGAACCCACTTGGAAACTGAGTCTGTTGTTTTTACTTTGCTAATGTAGATTGAAAGGAAGCTTGTCCTGCTCAGTGTTCTAAAAGAGCCTGTGAGTCGCTCCATATTTGATTATGCTCTGAGGTCTAAAGACATCACCAGCCTGTTCAGACATCTTCACATGCGTCAGAAGAAGCGAAATGGCTGTCTTCTCGACTGCCCTCCACCTGAGGACCCCGCCATCGCACAGCTGCTGAAGAAGCTGCTCTCCCAGGTGTGCACCCTCCTCAGACACACATTTCATGATAGTTGGAGCACCTCTTATGGCATCGAGGCAAAGACAATACTAGGGTTGACTTAAATGCTAAGTTAGGCTAAGTAAGGAGTCAGGGGAGAATATCAGCCTTCTTTTGTGATTGCTGAGAGAATAGAAGGAGCCTTGGATTGAAGTACTATTTTTGGTTCAGTTTTATGCTTCACCAAAATATAATGAAGTTCAGGTAGAAATAGCTCAGAACATAGGCACGCTATAGTCTGTCTCCTCAGTCCAGATGCTACTTCTCACTGTATGGGAACAGCTACAGTGTCCTGGGTTTACAGTGTCTGGCTGAATAAGCCAGCAGTTTACTGTTGTATATAAGTTTGAGTTTGGATCAACAAATCCTATAAAAACTCAAAGTAACCCTTTTACTTTATTTAGAATTGGTAGGGTCTCTTTAGAAACCCTAAGTTTAGATTCATCTTTCTGTTTTCTATGGGATGTGTGGGGCCTTGAGTCAAAATTGGAATAAAAATGCTTCTAAATGAAGACTCTAATTGTTGGTACTCCATGAGCATAAAACAAAGACTAGGGACATCAGTATCGACCATCATCGGTGCTGCAGAATGTTTTCATAATGTTTATCAGCTATGTCTCACCTGAAAAGTGTCCTCGGTTTTAGAGTGTTTTTGTTGTTGTTTTTGTTTTTGTTTGTTTGAAGAGACAGGATCTCACTGTGTAGCGCTGGCTGGCTTGAACTTACTATGTAGACCAGGCTGGTCCCAAACTCAAAGACATCTCCCTCTCGCTGCTGAGGAAAAGGCATGCACCACAACACACATAGCTTGGATAGAATTTGATGAGCTTTGTAGTATAAATGTTTTCATGTATTTTACTTGACCCTGAGTACTCACCGATGATGATGATATTGCTGGGAACTGAACAGGGACGTGCCCTCCACTTCTCTTAGCCTTTCTGCTCCCTCCTGTTTTCCCAAGTGCCTCCACAACTGCTGCTCCCATTCTTGGATCTCGTGATAAAATCACTCAACTCTCTGACTTTGGTGCTCACTAACAGAGGCTTGCGTCCAGGGGAGACTTTGGAGGTAGATGTTGAGTTCCCGTTCTTATTGCCCTGACTGAAAAGAGAAAGAGTGAAGCCTCTCCCCCTGGAAGCCCTGAATCCTTTATCTTGGGGCTCAGCCCTTCTCTGCACAGTTCTGTACTTGAGGGCTGTTGCTGGTAGACTGGGCTTCTCTGGACTGGCCTGGTGTTGCTGTGGGACATGTGTTCTGGGCTGAGACCGCAGGCTTGAACAGGGCTTTGGAGCAGCAGTCATGCGGGGCTTGGAATCTGTTCAGCAGGATGCATCATCAGGACACACGCAGGAGTGTTAGTCAGACCGCATCTACAAGAGCTCTGCTTTATATCCATTTAATAAGGGGCTATAAAGGACACAGGGTGACTCATTCCACTCCTTACTTAAAAAAAAAAAAGCCATACAATTTAAACTTCTGGCTGGATTTTTATGTTAGTGCTTTTTGAGTGCATAGTGTAGATAGAAGTGCAAAGTTGAAACAGCCCAAGAAAAAGCATAATAAAGTACAAGCTTTTCTATCGTTCCCCAGTTGGCAGCCATCTAACCTTTCTTGGTTCTTTGTGAATTTTATGTTGTTGGTGCTGAATTCTTTTACATAATATTGGGCCTGAGCGCACTCACACGGCCAGTTTAGCCCACTGACATGATGCTGTGTGGATATGAGCACACTATGCTCTGTTTCTAAAAGTTCTCTCACCCTTTACAGATAGAAAGACAGACTGCGCTAGGAGTGATGCGGTCTCTTACTTTGCTGTTGCTCTTTCCCTGGTCTAGACAGTCTCTGTACACATACGTCGTTTATTTTTCAGCCAGAGTTGAGGGCACCCCACCCCCAGCCCTCTAAAGTGCTCACTGTGTGTGACTGCTTTCTCCACTCCTCTCCCCCTTTGCACTAACTTCTGTAGCATTCTTGAACTCAGATCTGCTGTGTACTGAGTTCCTTTTCCATAGTTGTGGCCTTTCCAGAAAGGATTCTAGACAGCTGCAAGAGCAGGACTTGTCTATCTTAGGAATTGCAATCCCGGGCCACCTGTTTTCTCAGTCTGGAGTGTCAGTTCTAAGTGTGTTTAAAGTGTGGAGGTGAATCTCATTCCTGTTATCCATCAGGCTGGCAGCAGAAGCCTGTTAAGTGTCTGATGAGTACTGCTTTGTCACTCACCTTGGTTCTGCCTGAACAAAGTCCCCGCCTTTCTTTTTCAGGATTGGTTAGGTTATGCTGGCTCCTTTACATTTCCATATGCATTTCCTTAACAGTTTTCCCAAATCTGCTTGTCACTTCATAAAAGGCAGCCAGCCTGCTGATGTGTTCATAGAGGCTGCAGTGACTCTGCAGGACAGACCTGAAGTCCACCAGTGTTACGTCTGCTGCTCCCTAGGTCTGTCGTGTGTCCCACTGTACGGTCGTCTTCAGCCTCAGCAATGGGTTATGGGTCATGCTGCAGAGCTTTGTCCCTTGTTTATTATGAATACTTTGAGAGTTTATTTAGTTAGGGTTTTTGTTTTGTTTTGTTTTTGAATCAACATGTCTTTGTACTCAGGGTAGATTGAATTTACAGCCTTGGCCTTGAATGCTGGAGTTACAGGGTAAAACCTCTATACCTAGCCTGAGTGTTTGATTTTTAAATTTCATCTGCTTATTATTCATTCATTCATTCATTCATTCATTCATTCATTCATTTGTGTGTGTGTATGTGTATCTACCTGTCTGTCTTCGAGGTTATGCCCTGCCTGTGCAGGTACCTGTAGAGGTTAAAAGAGGGCACTGGGTTTCCTGGAGCTGGAAATTAGAACAAGTTGTAAGCCACTAGATGTGGGTGTTGGGAGCTGAACTTGGGTCCTCTGGAGGAACACCAAATGCTCTTCACTACAAAGCCATCTCTCCAGTCACATATTTGGTATATTACATTTTTCTTTTCTTTTTATAGCTGATATGGAAAATTTTCATAGGGACATTATAAAACTTCACAAAGGGACTAGAGAGATGGTTCAGTAGTCTTGGTCACCTGTTGTTCTCGTAGAGGACTCTAATTCATTTCTCAGCTCCTGCATGGTAGCTCAGAGCCATCTGTAACTCCAGTACAAGAGATGCCATTTCTGCCTTGTGTGGACACCAGGCATACTTGTGGTACATGCATACATATATGCAACCAAAACACTCACAAAATAAAATCTAAAAAAATTTTTTTAAAACTTGACAAAATGTCTTTGGTGTTAATAATTTGCTTGGGTGTTTCTTTTGATTTTCTGTAATTTCCAATTGAATAGTGCATGAAATAGTTGCTGAACGCAAGTGCCACTTTTATCTCATTCTAAACATTTGTGTTCTTCCTTGCCTGATTGCAGTTATAGAGCCTATAATACTGTACTATCAATGGAATTTGAGATGTAAAGATAATATGATGAAGAAAATATCCTTGCAGAATATGCCAGAAGAGTCAGTAGTCATTTTTCCCCTTTATTTTCTTGCTTCCCATTGTCATTTTCCAGTGTAAACTGGGAGTTGAACCTTCATTTATCAGTCATCCTGAGACCTATTGTTATTTCTTTTGAAATCAACCCAAAATACGTGGTTTAATTTGGTTTTAGGGAATGACCGAAGAAGAGGAAGATAAACTTCTGGCGTTGAAGGACTTCATGATGAAATCAAATAGAGCAAAAGCTAACGCCGTGGACCAGAGCCATCTCCATGACAGCAGCCAGAAAGGTGTCATCGACTTGGCAGCCTTAGGCATCACTGGGAGACAGGTTGATCTTGTTAAAACCAAACAAGAGCCAGATGAGAAACGGGGTTAGTACACTGGTGTGTGCATCTTGCTCTTAGTTATTTTATAAGGCTGTTTTTTTTAGTTAAGAAGCAGTAAAATACCTCCCCTTTTCCCAGATACAGAATCTGGAATGCAGTGACTCAGATACTTAGTAGGTAGACATGGGAGAGGGAAAGTGGGGCAGTGGGTTCACAACTGAAAGCCCAGGTCACAACTCTGTGACTAGTGAAGGCTGGTTTCCAGAGCTCTCTACCTGTAAACCGAGCTGTGTCTTGAGGAAGGAGTGACTCCAGTTCTGTTTCCTAATCCTGCTAACTCAAGGCCAAGACTGTGTAAAACCAGATACAAGTTTCTATTATTAATAGGTAATGCCTGATAAGTTTAAAATAAACAGTGAAATATAAAAGAGTAGAGGCCAAGAAACCCTTAGTCATTTGGCAGCTTGATATTTGGAACTGTCAGCCTTGTGACCATGACATCTGTTGTATTAGGTTCATAAGATGTTATGTGTACCCGTTCTGCTGTTAAATACATGCCTTTAAGACTCGCCCTGTGCCTATATCGTATTTTAGGGTAGCAAATGAATTATATTGAAGTAAACTTTATGATAAAATGTTTACAACTTAAACATTAATGGCTTACATACATAATATATAAGCACCTGTAGAGATCAATAAGAAAAAAGCAAGCACTCCAAAGGAAAAAGGGTGAAGGATTTAAGTAGATAATTGGTAGAACAGAATACATATAAATTAGATGTAAATGAATAAATAAAGGCAAATTAAAATACCCATTTTCTACCTGGATGAGAATAGATGGACAGTTCCTAGTGTTGGCAGAGCTGTAGTGAATAAGCATTTCCATATGCTGAGATTGAAAGTTGAACCTGCTCATATGTGCTACATGCATACAGGGATGTATTGCTGAATGAAATGGAGCGCACAAAGGAACATGAAGGAAGCAAGGTCCATTGTGTTCCCTTAGAGACAGACAGTGAAATCACATTGGTTTTACCTTCAGACTAACTATCTCAAATATATTTTCATAGCTAGAAAACATGTAAAACAAGACTCCAATGTAAATGAAGAATGGAAAAGCATGTTTGGGTCACTGGAACCACCGAATATCCCTCAGGCCCTGCCTAAAACCAGTGACCATGAGGTGGTTCAGACTGGGAAGCCACCTCGCTCTGAGTCCTCTGCTGGTATCTGTGTCCCTTTGTCAACTTCTCCACAGGTACTGTCATGGAGGCAATAGCCATCCTCATGTCTGAGTTTTGTTCTGCTGTTGGGTTTGTCAAAAGGCTTTGTGCTATAGAGAAATCAAGGTGGTTTCTGATTGGCTTACTTGAATTTTTATAGCCAAGGGAACACAGTTTAAGCACGGCAAAGGTCACTCCTTTGAGACACTTGCCAATAAAGCAAACAAATTGGGTTAAAGACCAAACTAAGGTCATAATTAGGCTATAGAGAACATTTTAAAACTTTTCAAATATTTTTATTTATTTTTTTCTTTAATGTAACAAAAAGCAAAAAAATATTTGGGGTAAATTTCCAAATGGCCTGTGCATATTAAATATTATGATGGCTTTGGTGTATTTGAAATGAGTTTGTAATCTAAGACAACTCTACCCCCATCAATCATATTTTAATTAGAAAATATTGACTTAGATCAGCTGAAATTCCACTTGTTCTTTTCACCTGAGTTACTAGTGTTTTTTTTAAGGACTAGAAGCCGGTGTAATGTATAGATGCACAGTGAGAACATTTTAAATACACCTTGCTATGACACAGCCATCTGTACTGCGTTTTCAGGTTTCAGAAGTCATACACGTCCCCAGCAAGAAGCCAGTGGTTCAGGTTGTCAGTAGCACAGTCATGCCGTCCACTTACCAGATCCGGATCGCGACTTGCAAGACTGAACTTCAGCAACTCATACAGCAAAAGCGTGAGCAGTGCAATGCAGAACGCATAGCCAAGCAGATGATGGAGAACGCAGAGTGGGAGAGCAAACCACCTCCCCCTGGTGAGAAGCTGTGTTTCTGCCCCCCCTCGCCTGGGCTTCCAGCCTGAGCCTGGGCTCTAATGTAGAACTGGAATCAGATTAAGCCCCCTACTCCAAAAAATTTCAGCCAAAAAGTTTAGGAGTTTTAGCATTTCTGATGATAAGCTTTGGTTAGGGAGGCACATGAAAACCTCTGACATCTGAAACACTGCTCACAAGAGCCTTGGAAAGGGCTCTTCAGCCTTACCAGGCAGTGTACTTTGATAGGGAGCAAGAACAGCTCAGTCAGAGGGCTGGAGCAGCATGCAATGGAGAAGAAAGCTGGAGACATTGTGTGTGGACTTGGGGTCTTCAGCTTTGATAGCTTTGCAGTATCACATTCAGGTCAGTCACTTAATGTATCGAGTCTGTGCGTTATTGTTCACAGCTGTTGCCAGCTGTGGTGCCATCATGGTGCCATCCCCCTCCCCCCCTGCTTTCATATTCTCCTTGAAATCAGGCTTCTAGGGATAAACACCTGCTTTTACTTACTGCAGTGTTTTCTTTCTGATTATATTATTTAAGAAAAGGAAGGACATTTAGAAAACATGGAAACTTTCAGAAAGAACAGACTAATGTTTAACACCAGCATTTAGCTAATTATCAACATTAAGAATTTGGTATAATGATCTGCAGGGATGGCTCAGCAGTTAAGAGCACTGGCTGTTCTTGCAGAGGACCTGGGTTTGATTCACAGAACCTGTATGGCTCACAACCATCCATAACTCCAGTTCCAGGGGTTCCAACTTACTCTTCTGGTCCCTTGGGAATCAGGCATGTATGTGGTGCACAGACATGTAGCTAAAACACCCATGCATGTAAAAAACAAAAACAACAAGAAACCAAACCTGTAAAAGAATTTGGCAAAACAGTCCCTATATTCTGAGAGGATTGAAGGGCAATGGAGAGGTTGTTGGGATCAGAGTGTGGGCCACTTGTGTTAACAGCCGGATTCGTACAGTGTTTCAGAGTGACTTTTGATTCTGTATGTGTAGATTTCTTAAAAATGAATGAATTTTAATATTTCAGCTGTAATAGTAGAAACTCACATTTAAAACTATGAGAAGAACTGCATAGTGTATTTACATTTAGACTTTGAAAAGATCACAGGAATTCCCATGAGCTTTGATGTGGACTCGGGCAGTACTGGTCAAGGCCACCTGAAGGTTTGAAGATGCAGAAAATATTTTTAAGTGCTAGATAGATGCTTCGGTCAAAATGAATATCCTGCAAAGTTCAAGCTTCTGGGATGTAAGCTAATGTCACTTACCTGCCAGATGTGCTTAAAAACATAAAGAAGACTGTACACAGTCTTGTTTTATGATCCTCTCTTCATAGGTAGCAATTCATATATAAATGGAGTTATACATTTTACTCAGTTACCACAGAAATGTGCAGTGACTGCTGAATGCTTATATTTTTTTCTTCTTCCCACACTTGAGTGGTTATATGAAATATTCAGCCCAATTATTAGAACATGTAGACTTCATGGTCCTTCAGATTGGGTCCTTTTTAGCCTGGGGTTCAGCCTGGGGTCCCAGTGGGGTAACTTAGCCATCCAAGGGGGAACCATGTTTTAATGTTGAGTAAGTAACGTTTGGCAGGAGTCTTGTTTTTTTTTTGCTGCTTGGTAAGAAAATCATTCTAAAGTGACCTTGCTGCTGCTCAGGCACAATGGTTGGTGACTTCCACTGTAGCTCTGATCTTCAGCAGAACTTTTTAGTTTATTTTAAAATCAAGTAATATTAAATGTATAAAATGTTTTCTTTAGTTTATATAAGCTGTGTACAAATGCAGAAGACAGTTATGTGCAGGGACTGGTGCTGGGCACTGAGGTCATTCATGGCAGGATGACACATGCGTTTTTGTCTCAGAACTTGTAACTTTGAGGAAATTATTTATACACAGAAGAATATGCATAATAAAATACAGAGAATTATAGATGCTATTTAAAAAATACTAGGAAGTCCACGTAGAGTCTTGGATCTGTAACTTCTAGTTCTCGTGTTTATACCATGGAAGAAGAGATTGTAGGCAAAGAAGAAATTAGCCATCTACGTGTTTTGCTTTGTTTTGTTTTGTTTTGATATAAGGTCTCTTTTAAGTAGCTCTGGCTCTCCTGAAACTTGTTATGAAAACTGAGCTGGCCGTGACCTCAAAGAAGCCTACTTTCTCTGCGTCCTGAGTGCTGGGACTAAAGGCATGTGACCCCATGCATGGCTGCCACCTGCCTGGTGGTCACGTAGACTGGGGCACTGTCACCCACACGTGTTATTTATGTGCTTACCCACTCCCTTAGGTTATGTGATACAGCCCCATGTTACAGCAGAGACGATGAAAGCTCAGTGAAGTCCAGCCATGGCCTCCAAGCTGCTTGTCTAGCTAGAGTGGTCATACCCAATGCTGCAAAATAAGTAGTCAGTGTTTTTTTGAGGACTGTGTGACTGCTGTGTCTGTTGGGCACTAAAAAGGGCCCTGAGGTGTAGAATTTAATTGCTACCTTGGTATCTTAATAACTGTCATGGTCCAGTTGACCCCTCTGAAAGGGCTAGCTGGGGACCTTTGCACTGACTAGTTTGTATGATTGCTCTGAAGTTAGTTGTTGAGAATCATAGCTAGAGGGTGATGGGTGATTGTGTCTCTCAACCATAGTTTAAGATACACTTTGCTTCTTCTCAGGGTGGCGTCCTAAAGGGCTACTAGTTGCACATCTCCATGAGCACAAATCTGCTGTAAATCGAATTAGAGTCTCTGATGAACACTTACTCTTTGCTACTTGTTCAAATGATGGCACAGTGAAAATCTGGAACAGTCAGAAGATGGAAGGGAAGACCACCACGACGAGGTAACACGTGATGGCAGGGCTCGCCTATCAGCTATGTCAGTGCTTACAGAGCGCTTTCTGTGTGTCAGCTGCTTAGGGATATGTGGACCGAAGTCCTGTGCCATGGCCGTCTGGTGGGAAGTGAGAGGGCCTGGTCTGTGAATAAGTAAAATATTGAAACGATCCTGTCAGATGATGAGGGAATGGTGATGTGGTGGGGCTGGAATTCTCAGTGAGCTGTGCAGACACTACCTCACCGAGGAGAAAGCTCCGAAAGAAGGGAGAAAGAGCCACACGGGTTCATTGAATGTTCTGGATTTCAGAGACCCTGGGTGGGGTGAGGGTGGGGTGGGAGTGCGGTGGGCGACCTGGTCAGCCACACCTAACAGTAACCTGAGTAGAACAAGCAAGAGGGAGAGAAACAGGAGGAAAGAGTTTGTAGAATTTTGATGGCTGTTATGAAGGACTTTGACTTTGAGTAAGAGGGAGTCTTGGGAAGGTTGTAATCAGAGGAGAATCGCGTCTGAGATGTCAAAGGAATGGCTCTGGCTGTGAGATGAGAGTAGGATAAAGATGGTAAGGCAACAGCAGTTGGGAATATTATGGTAATGCAAAGAGGAGATGTGGTCGGCTAGGCAGCAGTGCACAGTGGGAATGACCAGCTTCTGCATCTGTTTTGATGGCTGAATGGATGAGAAGGCTATGAGCATAGTGACAATATAGCGATAGACAGCTGCTTCAGCAAAACAAGACTGTTGTTCTAGAACCTGGTCTTTATAGCCAGTATCTTTGAGACTTTGAACGTCCAGGGTATGAGTAAATAGGGTTGTCGTAAGGGTTTAGATTTGGCTAGTATTATACATGTGTCCCTTCCTGCTTGAGATTTTCTGCCTCCTTCATCTCTGCCTTGGTCTCTGTCACTCTCATTTAATTTTGTGATTTTCCTGTTTGCTCTTTGCCTAATTGGTCCTGCCAGAAGAACCACTCTAAATCAGAAGGAATCTCATCTACATTGAAAGGATGTAGGGGATGCTCTGCGGCTTTCCTTGTTATTAGTTCATTGAGCATAATTAACTAAAATGTGATCAAATCAAATACCCTCAACACTAAAGTAACATAAAAGTCTGCTTCACGTTCGCCAGCCTTGCTCAAGATGGTGTGTTTGTTTAAAGGGCTTTGTGCTTTTACATTATACTTATTTCTGTGTTTATTCTCTCTGGGCATTTTATTGAATAGAACATAAATGAAAAATCAATAAAAGAAACATAGGTGTATGTAGCAATTGTATTATTTATTGTTGTTATTTAGACTTGTTTTGCTTTTCCTTTGAGACAGGGTTTCTGTCTTTTAGCTGTGGCTGTCCTGGAACTCACTCTGTAGACCAGGCTGGCCTCCCCCCTCTTCTTCCCAAGTTGAGATTAAAGGCGTGTGCCACCACCTCCTGATTGTTTAGATTTTTTTTTTTAAACCAACATTTTATTGTAGGAACTTCAAACCTTCAAAAAGTTGTTTGATCTTCAGCAATACTCATCCTGGGCTTATAACACATTATATTAATATACTTTATGATAATAGTTGACCAGAGGGAACAGAGAAGAATAGATATTAAACAGAGTTGTATGTGTTAATTAAGTTAGCATTATTTAACTTTTAAAAAGATGCTAATTATTTCTCAGTAACTTCTTTTTTTAATTTAGTTTATATATTTATTTATTACAATTTATTCACTTTGTATCCCTGCTGCAGCCTCCTCCTTGTCTCCTCCCAGCCCCACCCACCCTCCCTCTTCTTTCCTTATGCCCTTTCCCTAGTTCCCTGATAGGGGAGGACCTCCTCCCCTTCTATCTGACCCTAGCTTATCAGGTCTTATCAAGGCTGACTGCATCATCTTCTTCTGTGGCCTGGCAAGGCTGCACCTCCCAGGAGGGGGTGATCAAAGAGCTGGCCACTGAGTTCATGTCAGAGACAGCCCCTATACCCCTTACTAGGGAGCCCACTTGGAAACTGAGCAGCCAATGGGCTTCCTTTGAACAAGGGGTCTAGGTCCTCTTCATGGTCCTTAGTTGGAGTATCGGTCTCTGCAGGGGCCCCCTGAGCCCAGGTATTTTGTCTCTGTTGTTCTCCTTGTGGAGTTCTTGTCCCTTCCAGGTCTTTCTATCTCCCAGGTCTTCCCTAAGGATTCTGGCACTCTGCCCAAAGTTTGTCTATGACTCTCAGTATCTCCTTTGATACCCTGGTGGGTAGAGTATTTCAGAGATCCTCTGTAGAAGGCTCCTGTCTTGTACCTTGTCCTCTTCCTACTTGCGATGTCTATCCTGTTTGCCCTTCTGAATGAGGATTAAGCATCTTCCCTAGGGTCCTCTTTGTTGTTTAGCTTCTTTACGGCTATAGATTTTAGTGTGTTTATCCTATATTATATGGCTAATATCCACTTATAAGAGAGCATATATCATTTGTGTCTTCCTGCTTCTGGGTTACCTCATTCCTAGTTCCCACCATTTGCCTGCAAATTTCATGATTTCCTTGTTTTTAATCACTGACTAGTATTCCATTGTGTTAATGTACCACACTTTCTGTATCCATTCCTCTGTTGAAGGACATCTAGGTTGTTTCTAGATTCTTTCTATTATGAGTAGAGCTGCTACGGACATGGTTGAGCAAATGTCCTTATTGAATGGTGGGGCATCTTTTGGGTATATGCCTAGGAGTGATATAGCTGAGTCTTGAGGTAGCACTATTCCTTTGTTTCTGAGGAAGCTCCAGATTGATTTCCAAAGTGGTTGTACAAGGTTACATTCCCACCAGCAGTGGAGAAGGGTTTCCCTTTCTCCACATCTTCTCCAGCATACATTATCCCTTGAGTTTTTGATCTTAGCCATTCTGATGGGTGTAAGGTGAAATCTCAGGGTCGTTTTGATTTGCATTTCTCAAATGACTAAGAACATCGAGTATTTTTTTAAATGTTTCTCTGCTATTCGATATTCCTCTGTTGAGAATTCTCTGTTTAGCTATGTGCCCCATTTTTTAATTGATTTACTTGTTTTATTGGTGTTAAACTTCTTCAGTTCTTTATATATTCTGGATATTAGCCCTCTGTCAGAGGTAGTGTTGGTGAAGATCTTTTCCCAGTCTGTAGGCTGTCATTTTGTTCTGATGACAGTATCCTTTGCTTTTCAGAAACATTTCAGTTTTATGAGGTACCATTTATAAAGTGTTGATCTTAGAGCCTGTGCTGTTGGTGTTCTGTTCAGGAAGTTGTCTTCTGTGCCAATCAGGTCAAAGCTCTTCCTTACTTTTTTTTCTAACAGATTTTAGTGTGTCTGGTTTTATATTGAGGTCTTTGATCTGCTTGGATTTTAACTTTGTGCAGGGTGATAAATATGGGTCTGTTTTCATTTTTCTACATGTAGACATCCAGTTAGACCAGCACCATTTGTTGAAGATGTTATCTTTTTTCCATTGTATGGTTTTGGCTTCTTTGTCAAAACTTAAGTTTCCATAGGTGTGCGGGTTTATTTCTGGGTCTTTGATTTGATTTCATTGGTTCACCAATCTGATTCTATGCCAGTAATATGCTGTTTTTATTATTGTTGCTCTGTAGTATAGCTTGAGATCTGGGATGGAGATACTACCAGATCTTTTGTTGTATGGGATTGTTTTAGGTATTATGGGTTTTTTGTTTTTCCACATGAAATTGACAATTGTTCTTTCAATGTCTGAAAAAAAATGTGTTGACATTTTGCTGGGAATTGCATTAAACCTGCAGATTGCTTTTGGTACAATAGCCATTTTCACTATGTTAATCCAACCGATCCATGAGCATGGGATATCTTTCCATCTTCTGATATCTTCTTCAATTTCTCTGAAGAAAGAAATTCTCAAAAGCTTTGAGACTTATGCCATAACCAGTACCGATGTGAAAATCTTCCCCGACACACTAAATTGTAGTCTGGAAAGAATTATGTACCATGAACAAGAACAGCTTGTCCCAGGGATGCCGGGCTCGCTCAGCATACAGAAACTAGCAAACAGCATATGAGGAGAACAAAGGGTAGAAATCACCATGGGAATGCATTTGATGAAGTCCACCCTGTAATGGTTAAAACCAACTCAGTAAATTAGTGCTGGAGAAATACAGCCACCTCCACAAACTGCAGCTGCCACTGCTTACTGTTGGGGAGTGTAGGTGTTCTAAAGAGGAACAGAAGAAGAGTGTGCACTTTTGCCAGTTCTGTTGAGCAGTGTGCCGCAGGGTCCAGCCAGGGAATTCGGGTAAGGAATATACGCAGGCGTTAAATGAAAGGATAGAGTGCAGAATCTTTATACAAAGATCAATTTCATTCTCCTGCATTAGCAACGAAGAGACTACTGGACTTTATAGTTCAGTTACGCTGTTACCAAGAAGAGTTCAACCAGAGAGGAATGATAGATTAAAAATATCAAATGTTGTATTTTTTCAGTAAGTATAAATAAATATATACAAATTAGGTGGGGAGTAACAAGGAGGTTTAGGTGGTACTGATGGCAGGTGCCCTTTAGATCAGATACTCAGAAGGCATGGCAGGATGAGGGAAAGCTTGAGAGTAGTTGTGTTTGCGTGTGAGGCTGAATATTGTGGTGTGCATCTGATTGTGTGCGTAGTTTAGTGGGCCTCTCTTTTTATCCTTTCTAGGTAAGATAATGCTTGTAAATGAGGAAACCGAGGCACAGATCATGACATAGGGTTATACAGGTAACCGAGATTTGCTTCGAAATTCAGAGCTTTTCCAGCTGTGACCGTCTTCATGTTCAGGGCTGTCGCACAGGTTGGAGAACTGGTTCAGGACTTGTTGGCAGGTCAGTCTCTATAGTAGGAAAGAAGTGCCTGAAGATGGACATTTGAAAAGAAGGTTTGTGTGTGGACTCTGAGAGACCAGGAGGATGAACTGCACTGTGTGAGTTAGTGTTAGCTCAGTGGCCATTTCACAGATGCTCTTTTGTTTCTTTCATTCAGGTCTATTCTTACATACAGCCGAATTGGAGGGCGAGTCAAGACACTAACATTTTGCCAAGGTTCCCACTACTTGGCCATAGCATCTGATAATGGAGCGGTTCAGCTTCTTGGAATTGAGGCTTCTAAATTACCCAAGTCTCCTAAAATCCACCCTCTACAAAGCAGGTACCGTCTACTGCCTTTTTGACTTTGCATGTGGTAGCGTCCACCTTCACACCGCAGTGTGGCGGGGACCAGCTGGGGCTCCTCTGCTGTGTTGTCTGTCTTATAAGCCTGGAGTGCAGGAAACTGCTTCTGAACCCCAACACTCCGACGTGCTTAGCTTTAGAGGGTGGAACCTTAGCAGCTATGTCCAAAGTTTGTCAGAGTACACAGGGCAGCCCTGGACTCCATCATCTTCATCTCAAATCTTTGTGAATGACATGCTACTAGCCAGATTATTAGCAACAGCATGTCAGTCAAGAAAACTCATGTTCTGTTGCTTGGCACTAAAATGTCTAAATATTTTTTAAACAAAGATTAACTTACCACTCTAAAATAAAATGCTAAACTGGTTTTGTTTATGGGTCTCATTTACAAATTTCTTTGTAAATTAATAGTTATCTAAATATTAACTATAATGTAAAATAAATTAAAGACAGTCTTTTTTCTTGAATAATGTTATGGGTAAGGATTCCAGAGACAAATAGATACATTGTGTTCTCTCTGTTTTGTTAACAAAAAATTATGCTGTGTGAGTGCATTCACAGGGACTTAATAGAGGTCAGAGGACAACTTTTAAGAGTCAGTTCTTCCTTCTACCATGGGCTCTGGCAATCAAACTCAGGTAGCCAGGCTTGGGTGGCAAGTGCTTTTACCTACTGAGCTGTCTTGCTAGTCCTACATTGTGTTGTCTGAGAATCTATAGTCTACTGGGAGATAAAGACAAGTTGACAGACAGTGTGAGGGCAGTACAGTAATGGTCCATCTTACCTGGAAGACATGAGCCAAGCTAAATGGTCAAACTGGACAGATGGCTTAGTTGGTAAAGCATTTGCCTTGCAGGCATGAGAGGACCTGAGTTCAGATCTCTAGAACGCATACCTTTAACTTAGTACTGAGAGATGAAGGCAAAGATCAGAGGATCCCTGGAAACTTGTAGGGCAGCTAGCCTTCTGTGTACCAAGCAAAGTTCCAGGCCAGCAAGAGACCGTGTCTCAAAACAAAGTGTGGAAGGTGCCTGAGAACTAACACCCTAGGGCTTCTGACCTGTGACACTCATGCTCACAGTCATATGCATGAAGGAACATGTGCATGCCCGCGTGTGCACACATACACACACACACACACAGACACACACACACACACACACACACTCTGAAAGGTGAGACTGGTGGCAGGTAAGTCTGTTAAAGCAGGGTGGTTGAGAGGGGCATGCTAGGAAGAGGTAGTGCACTTTACAGAAAAAGCAGAACAAGATTTTAATTTACTAAAAGGCTGCTTGTTGAGATCCTTGTGTAGCTTAACGTAAGAAGGTACCGCGGTTGGGACACTTAGGATATTTTTGTTGTTTTGTTTTGCTTTGCTTTTCCATTTTAAAAAGTTGTATATTTTCAACATAATCACTAAATATATCTGAGTAGCGTTAGCCCAGGACATATTACCAATGTCTTTTAACAACAAATAGCTGCCAGTTTTCCTTAAAATTGTCTCAGCAGAGGATGAGGATGACTGTATATACTTTTGAGTTAATTTAAATTATTGGCTGAGTGTACTATGTGATTATTGTGTCCCAGCTTGAAAAACAAACACCCCAGCATAGATATGCAGTGGAATAGAATTCTGCAGTATGAAAGAGTGAATTATTAGCTCATGACATCATCGACAAATCTGAAATAAGTTTTGCTGATAACAAATGTCAGATTCAAAAGGCTATATGTTGCATGTTTTCAGCTATGTGACATTCTAAAAAGAATCAGAATGGGCTTTTGCCACGAGTGAGAAGGTGGAGAGAGTCGGAGTACAATGGCTGCATGGAATAGTTTGTAGGATACCAGGTAGTTTTGTGTGGCTCTGTGAGAGATGATGCATTGCTGTCTATGTCTCTGTAATAATCCTTGTGTCTCACATGAAGATCTCATTTCATTAGCATTGCAACACAATTGGTTCTTTAGTTTTGATAAATACTCTAGTTATATAAGATGGCAATATGAGGAGAAACACTAAAAAATGTACAGAAACTTTTTACAGCTTTTCTGTGTCTAGAATTATCTTTTTTGAACATTCAGCTATAATTGTCTCTTTGAGGTCACATAAGTTTTATTTTTGTGGACAGGGTCTCAGCTCTGGCTGTCCTAGAACTCACAGAACTCCTGCTACGCTGTCTCTGCCTCTCAAGTGCTGGGATTAAAGGCTGTTCCATTCCAACTGGCCAGGTTTTCTTTCCTGGCCCATATGTAAGCTGTCAGTTTATCTCAAGTGGGGCAGTGCTCCATTTTCAGTGACCAGAAAAGCCCTTGCCTTGCCTTTGTGTCCCTGTAGGGTTCTGGATCAGAAGGAAGATGGGTGTGTGGTGGACATGCATCACTTCAACTCGGGGGCACAGTCTGTTCTTGCCTACGCCACGGTGAATGGCTCTCTGGTTGGATGGGATCTCAGGTCTTCAAGCAACGCATGGACGTTAAAGCATGACCTAAAGTCAGGCCTCATCACATCCTTTGCTGTAGACATCCACCAGTGCTGGCTCTGCATAGGTAAGCCAGCAGCTGTGTTGGGGTGCCACCAACATCTGCAGGTAGCATCTTGTGACAGCCGGCCTGTCCTGATTTCTTTACTGGGGATTTTTCGTCTCCTTTGCATTCATAATTGCTATGTTATTATAATGTCTACAGTTTATTTTTTACTAGGAGGCTATGTGAGGCTGGGAGTGTAGCTCAGTGAATGCTTGCCTAGTGTGCCTGAGGCCCTGCCACACTCTCTAGCAGCACACAAAGTAGGATAAAAGGTGTAGTTGGGCAGGGTATGGTAGTGCACCCCCACAGCCACAGTGGTTGCCAGGTGGCCAAGAGGATCAGTAGTTCAAGCGCAGTCTGTGACATAGTGAGTTCTGGGCTAGCTTGGGTTACATGAGACTGTATTTTAAAAAACTTAACAAAGCATTGTGTGAAAGGGTGAAATCCTATCATAAAACAGAGGAAAGTTTCTTCTTGTGCTCAGTCAGCCTTTGTCTGTGTCATTGTAGCAATGAAGAGTTCCTGGTGTTCTCTGCTGCTGGGGAATATCCCACTTAAGGAAAACAGCGTTTGAGTTTGAGCCAGTAGTTTTAAATTCCATAACCTCAGGCAAGCTACTTAACTCTGAGTCTTAGGATCTTCATCTTCTGATGGGACTAATTCCTTCAAAGGCTGCTTTGAAGATTTAGTAAACTGAAAGCACCACAGGGCCTCCTGGAAAGCAGAACAATGGATTTCTGTTTTAACAGCTTTCTACTCCCTCTCCCCTAGAGACTGAAGATTCGTGCTATCTTTCATCTGTTTTTGTTTGTTTTTGAAGTGTTTCTGAGTTCTGAAAACTATATATTCTAGTGTACATAATTTTACCTGGCCACAAACAAAATACAAATAATCCTTCTGAAAATTGGTATTAACCAGTTTCTTAAATTATTTTTTAAAAACTATATTGTTTACTCATTGATAATTTCATACATTACACAATGTATTTTGAACACACTCACTCCTGACTTTTCCCTGTCCACTCCCACACCCCTTCCCAACTTCATGTTCCTTAAAAAAAAAAAAAAAAGAAAAACTCCGAGTCCAGTTTGTCCTGCCCGTATGCATGGGTACAGGGTATCCCCTGGAGCATGGTTGACATACCTGAGGCAACATCCTTAAAGCAACCTGGCTCTCCTTCCCCTGTCGGCTCTTCTTATCTTCTCAGTTAAGAGTAGGGACTGTGAGGCAGCCCCTCCCCCAACTAGACTGCCAACTGGCGCCTCTTGAGGAGGCAAGCTCAACTGCTCTGCGCTTATGAGTACACCGGTCCTGTTATCTAGAAGATACTGGGTTGCTCTGGTCCTCCCAACTGCTTACGGTCTTTTGTGGGGAACCCTACCCCCTGCATAAGGCAGCGTCAACTAAGCACTTGCAGGAGTGTGTTTTGGAAGCCTGTAACAGTAGGCTTCCTAAGGCTCTTACTGTGAGTGATCCCCACCCCACCCTCTCGTTCCTCTTCTCCCTGTCCTATCACCATTTTCTATTATTTTCCCTCTTAAGATGTCCCTCCCCACCCGATGGCCCCTTTCTAGTTTCCTGATTCAAAGATGCTCCAAGTTGAACACAAATCTAAGGATTTGATGCTAGGGTCTGCGTGGGTGAGAACATGTGATGTTTGTCTTCGGATCCTTGTTACTAAGTATGATGTTTCTGGTTCCAGCCATTTATCTTCAGATTTCCTAATTTCCGCTTTCTTTACAGCTGAGTAACATTTCATTGTGTGTAGCTACCAAATTTTCATTATCCCTTCAACACGTGATGGACGTTAACTAAGCTGTTTCCATTTCGTAGCTATTGTGACTAGAGCAGTAATAACCATGGATAAGAAGGTTTCTCTGTAAGATGGTATAGAGTCCTTTGGGTATTAGCCCAAGATTAGTATAGCCAAATCATATTGTGGAGCTATTTCTAGCCTTCTAAGGAACATCAACACTGACTTCCGTGTGGCTGCACCGGGTTTTTACTTCGGCAGTATCGAATGAAGACTTCCCTTCCCACACCCTCACTAGCATTTGTGGTTATTTTCTTTATCCAGTGTAAAACCACTCATCCAATTCCTGTCTCCACTGTATTTTGCCCATTCCTGAATGTAACAGAAATGGAATCATACAGTATGCATATTTTTTTCACTAAACATGAAGTTTGTAAGGCTTTTCCATTTTTTTGTGTTTGCAGAATTTTAAATTATTTTTCACTTTATTTATGGACAGTTTGTGTACTGGTTACCCATTCTCTAGTCAGATGGTTGAATTTTTTTCTAGTTTGGGGCTTACCTGAGGAAATTTGCAAGTAGGTTCCTGTAGGAACTTTAATTCATTTTTTTCTAAGAGTGGGATTACTGATTTTAAAAAATGTAGTTTTAATTGGGATGAAAGTGATATTTTGACACATGTTTATATTGATGAATAATTGGATCAGGTAATTAGGAAACCTGTCACCTGCATATTTTGTGGTGAAAATGCTTAAAACCTTGAGTAATTGAAACACACGACAGAGCATTGCCGTCATTTACACCAACAGTCCTGTATGTCACTGAAGTATATTTCTTCTAAGAAACTTTATGTAGCTTGGCCTTAGCACTGTTCTCATCACCTTCCTTCCCCTTTTCTGTTTTCAGAAGGCACATTTTTCCTGTAGTGTTTTTGTTTTCTTTTGTATTTGAGACAGGGTCCTAATGTATCCAGGCTGGTGTCAAAATACCTGAGAATGACCTTGAACTTCTGAACCTCCTGCCTCTTATCTCCCAAGCGATGGGCAACACAATGTGGTACTGGGGAGGGGACCAGAACTTTGTATGCTAGGCAAGCACGCTGCCAATTGACCTACATCACCAGGCCCCTCCCCTGCATAGTGCTTTGAAAATGTTCCTCCAAAGTACCATATTTTTTTTCTTCTTTCCTTCATACCCCCAAAAGTTAGGTTTTCTTTACTTGAGTTTAGATTTCTGGATTCCTTAGTTTACACTGTGTCATCATTAACTATCTACCCTTTCCTATGTTAACTTTTATGTATTAGAAGATGGTAACATCCAGAGTAATGCAGAAGATTAGACAGCATAGCTAGCAAAGTTTTCAAAGGAAAATGTCTTTGGCACGCTGAGCAGCTTTGAGGAGGGCCACTGATGCCACCTGTAGCTGTTGTCATCATTGTCATGGAGTGTGACAAAGAGGCATGCAGGGTCCCAACTGGCCTTGTCTTATCTCTCCTGTGGAATCGGAGACCAACCCAAGAATGTGCTCTGCTCTGCACAGCTGCTCAGTGCTGGGCAGCCATTGTTCTTTTGCCATAGTGGCCATTCTTCTCTAGTAGTTTTAGGTGCCTTGGGGAGAGTGTGGGGGCACCCACCCCATTTTCTGCTGTGGTTGGGCACCCATACCTATCTGCAGATGTAATGTTTTGGAGCAAAGAACACATGAAGGTGATTGGAATCTAATGACACACAAAACCACTGCCACTTTGGACTTTAGAGCATCACTGGGTATCATTGGAGACATCTGTTCTTCAGGCAGTCTGAATGTTCTGGCTCACCAAATTCAGCTTCATCTCTATAGCTTCTGGTTTTGTAGGTGCCTTTGGCAGTTAGTAACAATGTCAGTATTTAATGAATTATTCATTTTCAGTTTACATTCATTAGATAGTATTGTAATTGCATTATGATAAGCACTTCATAACTATTATTTGGCAGCTGTAGGTGCTGTTTGAAACTGCGTAGGCAGCCTCATGGGCCAAAGCCTTTTTCCTTCCCTTTCTTGGCAGAACTGAGAGATGATCTCAGGGCCTTATGCACACTAAGCAAGTGCTGTACTGTTGAGCCATAGCCACAATCCTGTTTTTAGGTTTTATATTTCACTTGTTGCCAGGGCTGGTCTTGAACTTGCTCTGTACCCCAGACAGGCCTCAGCCTCCAGAATAGCTGAGATTACAGACCTGTAACGGCAGGCCTGTCAGCAAAGCCTTTTTCTACGTGATCAAGGCAGTTCTAAAAGACATTCACCCTGAGCTGGCTATGGTTGAGCATGTCTTTAATCCTGGTATCAGGAGGTAGAAGCAGGTGGATCCCTGGGATTCCGAGACCAGCCAGGGTGACATACTAAGACCCTGCCTTAAACAAAAACCTAAAAATATGTTCATCCAGAAGCAACACTGTTTGCTGTTGTTGTGGTGAATGCAGCGTGGCATTGCTTTGCTTAGCTGTTAATGGTTTGTGCCTTTTAAACTCGAGGCACGAGCAGTGGTACCATGGCGTGTTGGGACATGAGGTTCCAGTTGCCGATTTCCAGTCACTGTCACCCCTCCAGAGCTCGCATCCGGCGCCTCTCCATGCACCCCTTGTACCAGTCCTGGGTAATCGCAGGTAAGTTGCAGGGCTGACAGTCGGGGTGGGACTTGTAGCGTATGTTGTTGCTCTTAGAGGTTTTATTTTACATCTGAGCCAAACGCTTGATTCTGTGTTGACGTGGAAGCCGCCCATGTCAACTGTGTTCTAAGTTCAGAACTCGTGCCACCTATCGTTACCACCACTCCATTCCTTTCTGCCACCATCTCTCATCTTTCATTTTTTCTTTCAAGCTCCTGTGCCCCTATTTTTTTGTTAAAACTGCCAGCGTCTTCCCAGAAATATAAGCAAGGAGAGATGTGGATCCTCTCCAGTTGCCATTCTTTCTGATCTGCATCTGTGTTTCTCACATGCTCCCTTCCTTTCCAGCACTGGGCACTCAGTTTGCTGGTATGGGTTCTTGGACTAGATAACCTTTTACTGTGAATAGGTGTGTTGCCCGCATGCCTGTCTGTGCACCATGTGTGTATAGTGCCCTTAGAGGCCAGAAAAAGTTGTCATATCACCAGGGACTGGAGTTAGGGACAATTGTGAGTTGCCTTATGGGTGTTAGGACTCAAACCTGGGTCCTCTAGAAAAGCTGCCAGTGCTCTTCACTGTTGAGCCATCTCTCCAGCCTCACCTGGGCAGATCTTTGAAATTAATTTTCCTTATCTGTAAAGTATGGTTGAAAACACCTTATAATTTGAGAATTTGAGGGGAAACATCAACCACAGTCTGGCAGCGCAGCTTATCTTGATAGATACTAGCTCCTGCCTGATAAGTTTATGTTTTCCTTTGGTCCTCCTCTTTCGCCTGTATACAGCCCATGCTGTGGAACCCAGGTGGAATAAAAGCAGGGAAGGAGAAAGCCAGTATCACAACCATTCCCCACCAGTCTGGTGCCTGGCCACTGTGGTTTGAGCCACTCTGTTCTGCCACTTTCTCCCTCATTGTGGTGATGGATGAGCCAAAATAAACCCTGCAGTCATTTTGCCAGGGTCATAGCAATGGCAAAACTGACTAACACACCAAGTAACAAATGGCTTTCTATGGACTCTTCCATCCAGTCAGGATTCCAGCAAGGCAGACTTGCTCAAAGAGGGTTTCTTTCTAAAGGCTCCTTTACAAAGGTATGGGTAGAAAGGCGGCCATCACAGAGTGTGCTTAGTAGTAGAGAGGCAGACGGTGTTTGGGAGGGTCTGCTTATTGGAGTTACAGTGACCTTATAGAAAAGGTCACCTTGAGAGGAACAGTGGTGGTGTGTGTGTGTGTGAGAGAGAGAGATATTGAGAGACAGCACATGAGTAGTCTCCCGTGTACCTGTGTACATGAGGTCAGAGGACAACTCTTTGGGGTCACTTCTCTCTTCCTTGCTTCTGAGGCAGGTCACTCTTGTTTCTGTTGCTGAGTTGTGTACTCTAGGCCAGCTGCCTTAGACCTTCTGAGCAATTCTCTTATCTTCACCTACCATCTGCTATAAGAAATGCCAGGATTGCAGATGTGCACCGCTGTACCTGGCTTTTTACTTGGATTTGGGGATCAGACTTGGGTTATCAGGCTGTGTAGCAAGTGCTCATACCCACTGAGCCATCTCCTCATTTCAAGCAATGAATTTTGAGGAGAGGGACACAGCCAGGCTGGGCTGAGTGATCTTTCTCCCCTCTCGGGGCTTTTTTTACTTGGTGATGTAATAAACTTATGAGGGTTTGGCAGTTAGAAGTCTGAGCTGTGTGCCATGGGCAGTCAGTGTAGTAGCAGGGCCCCTGGAAGCTGTGGTGAGACGTCACTGCTTGCTTTTTCCTGCTTCTCTTCTATATTAGCCAGTGTCCTGACTTCAGGGCAGAACCATAGCACCTAGGCCCATCACTACTGATCACGAGTCTGTCTCCCTCTTACAGGCATGCTTTTGACTGCATTTAGGGCCCACTGGGTAGTCCTGAACAATCCACCCCTTTCAAGGTCCTCCTTAACTGCATTTTTGAAAATCACTTTTGTCATTTCAGGCAACATTTACAGGTTCTCAGGAGTAGGACTTTGAACTATTTGGGGGACATTTTCTTTCATTTTTAGATTCTACAAGTCAAACCCATCTAGACGCCAGATTGTACAAGAGCCTAGTGTGTGATTCATACAGTCAGACTTCAGAGAGCGAGTGTCCTGTGTCATTTGTTCCTGTGCTTTTCCTATCGTCCCCTTTTGTCTGCTCCAGCCTCACTGATTGGTTCTGCCTCTCCTGTTCCTTCTGCACTGTTCTGTTTAGTGTTTCCAGTAGAGTAGAAACTCCCTGCAGTAGGGGATTTTGCCATCTTTAACCCAGTGCCTAGGACAGTGCCACAGTGGATAATGCCAGCTCTCTAGATGTTGATAAATGAATGAATCCTGGTATTTTTGTCAACCCCCCCCCCCCCACACACACACACATCCCAATCACATTACCTACGGGAGAGATCTCTGTGTGACCCATGGTTTCTACTTTTCTAGCCAGCATCTATTCCGTCACAACTGTCCTTCAGTTACACCAAAACACCCTGAGCTTTCTGGCCTACTCAGTTTATTCTGCCTGAAGTAGGCCACCTGCTGCTACATCTGTCCAGCTTTTTTGGGCCTGGCTGGAACGTCTTGACTCAGCCCACAAAATGTGTTGTTTCTTCCCCAGCCTGAGTGAAGGAGGAGCTTTGCACTTGCTCTCATACTTATCAGCATGCTGCTTCCGTGTGTCATTCATTCTTCTTTCTCCGTCGATACTGTAGATTCTTGAGGGCAAAACTCTGTGATTTGCTTTTCTACCGCATAGTCTTTAAGGTCCGTGGGAGTGCAGTATATATATTTGCTATTAAGCTATCACAAACACTTTTGAACTCACCCAGTCTGGTGATAAGTCGTGCTGTTATGTTAAGGGTGTTAGCATTTCTTGCAGGATGGACATTAATGGAAATAGATATAGACAGCCCTGTATGTGCTACCAAGATGTGCAAGAAGAGCTAATAGTTCTTGCCTTTGTCTCTCAGCTGTTCAGGGCAACAATGAAGTCTCCATGTGGGACATGGAAACCGGGGACAGGAGACTGACTCTCTGGGCCAGCAGTGCGCCTCCACTTTCCGAATTACAGGTGTGTCACCAATGTTGACTGCAAAGGACAGTTATTACCTCCATCCTAAGCATGCTTAAGCATTTTAGGAAGCATGGTCTCTCATGAACTTTATAGCTACATCTAATTTGTGTTTTTACTAATGTGAACTACCATGTGACCTTTGCTGCATGGTTTCCAGTTCTTTTAGCTTGCTGGGTCTGCTGCACTGGATGTTTGTGATCTCACATTGGAGCTCCTATAGATGCACATTAGGCCCAGCTTATTACTGAAGAAAACAGTACTCTTAAATATGCAGGGCTTCCCCTGGTATAAAAATGGTATGCATTCACTAGGAAATACCCTTTGACTTTTGATCTTTTCCCAGGCTAGTAATGCTGTGATCTGGTTCTGTTGTGATGCTGGGTGTAGCAGTGAGCCATAGCTGCTGGTCAGACCAAAAGGGTAAAGAAGTTTTCTAGATTAGAGATGGTATTGGGCCAGAACCTCAGTGCAAATTGAGGAGTATCTGAACCTTGTATGAGTGATGTTTACTATAGATTTGTCTGTTGCTCGTGTTTCTGGGAGTATCATGGCAAATAAAGCTAAATGTAGGAAAGGTTTGACACCTCCTCCCTCCACCTAGATCTTATACAAAGTAATCCTGAAGTAATTGTTTTTATACTGTTTGTGACAGGCACTGAGTGTGTAGCCCAAGCTGACCTTGAGCTGGTGACTCTCTGGCCTCTTCTTCCCAGAGCACTGGCACTGCTGGTGTGCACCACTATGCTCAGTCTGAGGGGACACTGGAGACTGAACTCAGGGTCTTGCTCTTGCTATGTAAGCACTCTGCCCTGAGCTACACCACCAGCCCTTCAAAGCAGTCAGTTGTAGATCCTGAAGTTCCCTGCCCCAAAAGAAAGGGATGAGACCATTCCCACATGTTATATGTCTTGAGGTCTGAGGTGCCTGTACAGCTATTGATGGTTAATTCCCTTCTACCAAAAATGTCATTTGTGGGATATACCGATGTCTTTTCTGTGACTGTGTGTTTCTGTCCTTCAAGCCTTCTCCGCACAGTGTCCATGGCGTCTACTGCAGCCCTGCAGATGGAAACCCTATCCTGCTGACAGCGGGCTCAGACATGAAGATAAGGTGCAGTGTCTCAGCAAACCCTTCGGTTTAAACAAAAGAATGCTTCAGTATTAGCAGTGGAGTGTTTGAAGTCATCAGTACCTTGCCAGACAGCTATCAATGTTAAGTTATTGATTCTAGAAAAGTCTTTCTTGATATACTGTAGATTTTATTACCATTTATTATCTCTCCCGTAGGTTCTGGGACTTGGTTTCCCCAGAAAGGTCCTATGTTGTTGCAGGAAGCACCAGTTCCCCATCTGTGTCGTACTACAAGAAGATAATAGAAGGCACTGAGGTTGTCCAGGTATGGGGCTTTGTAGGCACAAAAATGGCTTTGACCAACATTTAAGATTTCTTTGAAACTAAGGAATATATTTGGTTTTTCTTGTCTTCTGGGTGGGCATGGAGACAGGGTCTGGCTATGTATCCCTTATCACTATCCTTGCTTCCCGCTCCTGAGTGCTGGGATTACGGATGTATGCCATTGCAGCTCACACACTTTTGTCCATTTTAACAACAAACTTTTATCAAAGTATAAAAAAAAGAATGAGGAAATACATTAAAGCACTACTTTACTGCTTTCCGTCTACAGATGGGTTGGTCAGGAACAGGGAGTCATTTGGCCTGGTCACATACCTAATAAACAGGAAACCGAGGTCCTGGTGTGGCTGTTAACCTCCAAGGCATGTGTTATTGACCTAGAAAATATCAAATGTTCTGGCCAGAGTAGGCTTTCCATATTGTTTAAAAATGCCAGAATAGCAAATACGTATCTCTATTCTTTCCATGTAAATATGCACACAGACTATACTGACTCATTTATAAGTGGCTACATATGCAATCCGATGACGACTGGAAACCTAGAAAGTCATTTTGGACTTACCAATATTCTAAATTAAGATCTACTAATTTTTAAAAATATATTTATATTAAAACTGGGTCAATTTGCTGTATCTCTACTATCAAAAGGTTAAAATAAGCTTGGTCTTGTTCTCTTAAAATGATGTTATTAATCTGTAGTATAGCCTTAGACTCTCCCTGCTGTGGCATGATGACTGGAGACAAGGTGTTCGCTTCCTAGCCACAGGAATGCTGTCGACAGGTAGAATGAGGCATAGGTTTAACCTCAGGCTTTTATTTTGACTTCTATCCACTAAACAGGAAATTCAGAATAAGCAGAAGGTAGGACCGAGTGACGATACCCCTCGAAGGGGCTCAGAGTCTCTGCCTGTGGGGCATCATGACATCATCACGGATATTGCCACCTTCCAGACAACTCAGGGCTTCATTGTGACTGCTTCTAGAGATGGGATTGTGAAAGTGTGGAAATAATCCTGCCAACTTGTACAAAATGTTGTAAAATTATAAATGTACCATAATTCAAGGAAGAAGATTTCTAGAGAACTAACATGGTTTTTGAAGTGTCTGTATTACTGTTTCATGGCTAAATGAATCCCAGTCACAGTGGTTAATGATGTGGGCATGGTTTATTGGGGTGCATTTCTGAAGAGTTGGTCAGACAGCACAGTCTGGTAGTCCTTGCTATATACGGAACAGGTGAGAAATGTAAAAAGCGAACATGAATGTCAGTTTATTTTGTATGGAAAATGATTGTAAGCTATTATGTAAACACACTTTTGTTATTATAAATGCTATTCAGACTACAAGTAAACTCTATTCAAGCATCCTGAGAGTTGGCATTTGTTTGTGACATGACCTTAGGTAGTCAGTAAGCAGGGGATGAGCTCTAACCTGGGCTGTTGTTAGGCAGCAGAGGCAGAGACAGGACCGTGTTCCTCCCTCTGCTTGCACACTTCTGCTTACGTTATGATTTATTTCCTTTGTATTAGCTCAACAGCAGCATGGATCTGCCTGGCCATCATTTCTATAGGATCTACCAAAAGTTCCTGTCAGCTTCCATTTCCCAATGGGAATTATTTACTAAATTCGAGAAAAAGAATGTTCCAGATAAAAACATGCCAAACATTTGAAGGCCCACAGTTGCTTTTCCAGTCAGGTAAAACTTTTCAAGTTAACAGATTTCTATTTGTATGCAGACCTAATTCTCTCCACATTTATTCTTTTGTGAGAAAAGGGTTTACAACTATTCCAACTTGAAATTAGGTACGTTGGGATAAACCTAGCCGCATAGATAATCGTCTAGGGAATACTGCTTGTTACATACATGCCACATTTTTCATAGCCCGTACGTTAGTTGGTTCTGACAGTTTACATGTTCAGTTCAGGTTTGAGCAGTTTCTGGTTGGCTTAAACTGCAGAAGTATGAGGAAATGCCAGTCATGCAGAAAGGTCAATGTTGATAGTGTTGGCTCTGATTAGACCTTGTAGCCTGGAGGTATGCAGACTTGGGAAGTTTGGCATGGCCTCTGCCCAACTGTACAGCTTGAATGCTAAGTCCATTTAGAGAGCCGCAGGGGTAGGAGTGTTTTTTAGTACGTAAATGTCCCATGGAGAGGTGTGGATAAGCCATATGTCTCAGAGGGCTGAGGGATAAAGGAATGTTTGACAGAGACCTGGTCTTGCTCTCCATTTACTACCCATTGCTCTCTCACCATCCCACAGATGACCCTCTTTGAAAGAACTTTATTGGTACTGTTATAATCTGATAGCTTTAGTTCAGAGAAAATGGGAGGCAGGGCCATTTGCAGTCAGTTTTAATTTACATTTTTAAGCCAAGATTCACCAATAATGCTTATTGTGTTTCTTGACTTAAGTAGTCTTACTAAATTTAGAGTCAGCTTGGTTTTTTTCTGATCTTCACCTTTTGGAGGCAAATCATAAATTTGGAGTCTTAAAGTTTTAATTTGTGTGTCTGCATATGTGTGTGTAGTGTCCTGGGAGGCCAGAAGAGGGAGCTAGAGTTGCAGGCAGCTGTGAGCCACTCAGCTAAACTCCAGCACTCTGTCGTTGGTTTTCAAGACAGGGTTCCACTCTAGCTTTGGCTGTCTTGGAACTAGCTGTGTAGACCAGGCTGACCTCGAGCTTACCGAGATCCACCTGCCTCTCTACCTTCCAAAGAGCTGGAATTAAAGGTGTGCGTCAACGCTGCCTGGCCAGAAACTTTTTTTTTAATGAGTTATGTATAGTATTCTTCAGACCCTTAACCTGTTAAGAATTAAAAAATGTAACCCAAGATGCCAAAATAATTTTAATTACCAAGCAATTTAAAAAATGTACCATACTTAACACAGGGGAAAAAAATTCTTTTCAAAGTATCTCCAACAATAAGTAGGAAAGTGCTGTGCCCAGTCAAAGTGAATTAGAAAAGTCCCTGCTGTTAAAGTGACTCAAATATGGCCCAGCAATTTCCTGCAATGAAACATACAGTCTTCCTGAGCCTCTAGACACCGGTAGGATGCACACCTGAGTACTGACAGTTTTCCTGGGTTTCTTCTCCTCAGAAGAAGCTGAGCTGGAGCTCTCTCCATGCAGTTGTCCCAGGAATGGTGGCACAAAGGCCTTAAAAAAAATACTGCACATGGCTCATCTGGCCAGATTTCCTAGACAGAGGTATAGACAAGAAGATCCGGCACACTCCTCTGGCCTTCTGGTGTCAGTAACCTACTTCCCACACACAGCTTCCTTTCCTTCCCAGGGACAGTGACATTCTTCCTGGCAGCGCCGTTGCTGCTAACCAGGGAGCAAACTATAAACCAAGGTAAGAGCTGGGTGGCGGGCCTCAACACACTGGACCTTTGATTTTCAGTTGTTGAAGATACTCCTAACCTAGGAAGGAAAAAGATGGACAGGGATGGAGATACGGAATGCTTGAGGGGCTGGACCCTGAGACTTCTGCTGACTCACTCTAGTCTCTGCCAGTTGATCAACCCAGATTCAGGGATTTTCTTACACCAGAAGCTCAGAGCCATTTAAATTTCATTCTGAGCTCTGTCATTCCTGCTTCCTGCCGCCCACGGTAGCCCAAATGCTTGCTACCAGGTGGAGTAAAGGAACTCGGAGCCTAACTCATGACACTATGTGTTGTCACTCTTCCTGTCTAAGGGACAGACGGATTAGTAGAAAAAAACTTAATAAATGATCATAACAAGGAAAAAAAAGACCAGAAATCCACTGACATGGATTGGCAGGAAGTTCTAGATAGAAAATCCAGCCCAGAAGCATGACTCGGGTTCCTGGAGACTTGCTAAGTTTCCCACTGAGTTTCGGAGGAGTCAGAACTGGAGAGAGTTACTTTCTGCCTCCTACAGACCAGGCACATGACTGCCGAAGGCCAGAGGCATCCTTCCGGCACAAGCCCCTCCCAGGCCAGCCAGTCTACCAAGACAATGCTGTGCTGAAATGGAAGTCCTGAAGGTCAGATGTCCAAAACCATGACATACAAACAGCACCAATTTCTAGGGTAAATGTTTGAGAACTCAACAACATTGAAGGCTTCTGATTAAACAGATGAGCATTAAACAATAGCACATTAAAAAGGTGGGTTTGCAGATGGAAAAGCAGCAGAGGGTCGCACTTGGAAGTTTACAGTGGCCCATGTCCACATGCATACACTGTAAAAAAATCAACTTCAAAATCTTGTCTCATTCAACTTTTCAAAACATGTCTTTCGTTCCATCTCCCCGTAGTTATATGATTCTCAGAGTGCTGGAATTGTCTGGAATCGTCAAGTAAACCTACTGACTAGATCTTGATACCGTGAGTGTAGTGGGTTGAGGTACCTGACCAACTACAGCCACTGGCTTGTTCTTCCCTTCAGCGCAGCTGTTGGATGCTGGTGTGCAGCCTGGATAAGAGCTTGGCGTTCGGGAGTGGATCTGGTGCTCAGTCCAGAGCCTGACCACAGCTAACTTGTTTGATCCCTTCATTTACCGTGTTTGGAAGTGGCTTTTATCCCTCCTTTCCCCTGTTTAAAGGTATAGAGTGTGTTTTTAGAAAGACTTGAAATAGCAGCTCTGCCACCTCTCAGGACACTTGAAAGGCGTTTTTTATCTTGAAAGAGCTTTGCTGCCTCCGGTGAGTGGTCTTTGAGGATAGCTTTCTGTGGTCCCGGAACAAAGCTGCACAGCAAAAGAAGAGAACATCACATAAGGCAAGCCATTCCAGCTCTCCTGACTCCATGGTAACCTTTCTTCCTAAACCATTATACCCGTTCCCTCATCACACCCCCTCCAGGATAAATTTTAAAAATTGTTGAAGTGGCAGTTTATACTGGTCAAACAGTAATTCTCAAACCTTCCTAATGCTACAAACCTTTAATACAGTTCCTTATGCTGTGGTGACCCCAGCCATAAGGTTATTTTCATTGCTGTAATTTTGTTACTGTTAGGAAGTGTAATGTAAATGTATGTTTTCTGATGGTCTTAGGCAACCCTTGTGAAAGGGTCATTTGACTCCCAAAGGGGTCGTGACCCACAGCTTGAGATCCACTGGCCTATCAGACACTGACAAACTTAACCTCTCAAACACGGTCATCCTCAAGTGCTAGTGAAAGGCTGAGGGCATGCCACTCCCTCCCACCTGCCTGATTCTATGCCCAGATGCCCACTGTCTGCTGTGCAGGGCAGGTGGGAAGGTGTTATGTATGGTGTGGATCATACTAGAACCTGCCTGGCAGGTGCATAAAAAGGCTTGGGGTTAGGAGGACCCCCAACAGCAGAGGAGCTGAAGCAACAACTGCTGTCCTTGAGTCTCATTACCAGGGTCCTCCTTGGGGTGCAGGTGAAGAAAATGAGGCATAAAGAGGTGACTGTGGCAGGACTGGGGCTCTATGCCAACGTTTCTAAAACGAAGGTCAGGGTTCCTTGCATCGAATTAGATTTTTACTTAGGACATTATGGAGGTTCAAAATGCTCGGAATCATGGTCAAGAGAAGCATTCAAGAGGATAGAAGAGGTCAAGATCCGAACTGGAATTCATTTTGATCTATTTCTTTACTACTACTGTACTATCTCTATAATATATAACCAACCTTTCAGAAAGCAGTGTGTAGAGAATGAGCACAAGAAGAGAGAAACAACACTGAAGAGTTTTGGAAAAGCCATATAGAAACAATTCATATGTATGTATATGTATATATGTGTATGCATATATATTTTTAATGGGCACACCACATGAGGTGAGGGTGCTTCCCCCAAGAGCCACACCTCCTCTAGCAAAACCCACAGTGCCAAGTTTAGGAAGCCTCCCCTTCAAATTGTTGGTCAGGAGAATGCAAGTTTCCATAGCAGTATGAGCTATTGCAGTGTTCTTGGTTGTCCTTGAGAACTTGAAGGTAAGAGCCTGTTCCTGAAGACAGCATACACGTTGGACATAGCACTTGGAGGACCTTTGCTGGCACCCGTCTGGAAGCACCTTGCCTGAAGAGCAGCTCTCACTATTAGAAGGTGCTATGCAAGCACCAAGGGAGAGGACTCACTGATGAGTCCTACCCAGTGTAAAGCCAGTGAATCACGATGTCTAGACCAGGGAGATATCCTCAATGATGCAATAATGGTCCCTTTTCAGGGGTAGCAAATAGCTCTCTAACTAGAGAATTCACACCCATTACTGTAACCCTGACCAACTCTCCATGGCTGGAGACATCACAGACTCCAGAGACCACCTGCCATTTCCCTAAACGAATACAGTTACTAACTATTCTAAATATTTATCTTTATACCTAGAGATAAGTGTATCTCTCAGCCCTCACCAAAGATTTTACAACAGAGACGTCTGTAAAGATCCATACGTGTTCAAAATGCAGAGAATACATGACTGTGGAGTACCCAACGCCAACTGTCAGATCTGCAGTACAATTCCTGTACCTCTCGGGAACATTGTGAAAGAGGGTGGAGAGAGTTTAAGAGCCAGAGCACCACGATGCCTGCTGTTACATAGCGCTCCCTAGTTGTGACAGGGAAAATGCACCCATGCATCCTCTGGTAGGTTTGCATGAGCAAGCCCGGTGTGATGACACCAGTTGAGTACCAACATGGATGGCCAGAAGTCACAAGCTGTCATCCTTAGATGGACAGCTACAGGTGGTCAGTGGCCTCTGAGAGGGGGAGAAACAGCTTCCTCGAGGACAAGCTCCCACATAGGTTGTCCAGTCCTAAGTCAACCCTGGACATATATGGGCGATGCTAAGTGGACCTAGAGGTTTGTATACAGTTATATGCATACACACATGCATAGATGCTTATATGTGTGTAACAGGAAATCATGAATTTGGGGGGCTATGGAAGCAGCTGGAGTGTGAAGTGAAATAGATGCAGTATTCATGTTTGACATTCTCTAAAAACTTAAAATTTTCATACATTTATACCATGCATTTTGATCATGTTCATTTACTACCACCCTCCAGTTTCCTTAGTGCCCCCATCCCATGTCTTCCCAGCTTAATGTCTTGTCATTAATAACCCCGAGTTTAATCAGTGCTGCCATATGCATGTAGCTATCCACCGGGGCGTGGGCAGCCTATCATCCAGTGACCACTTCCCTAAAGGAGAGTGACTCCCTGCAAAGGATTTGTTCTCTCAAGGCATGACTATCTCACCTGTATTTTATTCATCTTCCCTTGGGCCCCTCTTATTTTGTCGTATTTCTTAGCTTTGAGGAAAGAAGGGTTGGGGAGATGGTGCGGTTTGGTTTCCAGCACCCATGTAGGGCAGCTCATCCATCTTACTCCAGCTCCAGGGGATCCAACACCTTTGGCTTCTGAAGGCACCCACCCTCGTGTACACATACCCACCGTGGAGGTACGTGCATATAATTAAAAGTAAATATATAGTTAAAATCAATCATTAGGTTGGCAACTACTTCTAAGCCCAACCCTGGTACCTTTTGAGGAAAGGGTCAAAAGTGTTAAAAGCCTGTTCTTTGTGTTGTTTTTGTTTTTTTTGGGGGGGGTGGGGAGATATGTGTGTTCCTGTATGTGTGCATGCCAAGGGGTACACATGCAGAAGGCAGATGACAGCGTCTGGTATTGGTCCTCAGACACCTTCCAGCTTTGGTTTGAGACAGGGTCTCTCACTGGCCTACGAGCTTCAGGCACCATTACACCTGCCTCTGTGTGGGTCCTGGGGATCCAGATTTAGGTCTTCAGTGTTTAAAAGGCAGGTGCTTTATGTATTGAGCCCACGCCTTATCTTTGAAGCTTGCTTTTCTACTGTTATAGATGGGCCTTTGTATTTGAGAAAGCATTTAATAAGGATTACTTGGCTACCTAGTTTGGTCTCCGCCCCACTTCTACTGGGTATTGTTTGGGAGAATTTCTGCTGGTTGATAACTCTGAACAACAGGTCAGAAATAACTTTTCAACTTGAGCCCAGCTCTAGTCAAGTTTGTAGGGAGCAAGATGTGTCCTGTTCTAGATACAAAAGAGGATGGGGGGGGGGGCTACTGACTACAGATTGCTGTTCTTTGTAGTCAGACTCCTGCATCTGTCTAGATAATTAGGAGGCAGCCATGCCATACTTGCTGACTAGAGGCCCTGGGATAAATGTCATTCATATGGCAGTGGTGGCTGTCCATCTTTACCATCCACCCCTTCAGGCTCTGCCTGTCTCTGCTCTGGAGTCTGGCACAGTATGTAGGGGGCTTTATGTCTTTTACTTCTTGGAGCAGAGCTAAGTGCTTACACAAAGCTGTCCTATTCTCTCGCCTCCTGGCCATCTGCCTTCTCGGTTGCCTGTGGTGAGAGTCAGCACCTTTCTTCTCCATCTGCTACAAACAAGTGTCTGCGTGTTTTCCTCAAAACCCTGGCAGCAGGATGATTGAACAATTCCAATGCAGGTCATTCTCAGATGGCAAGTCATCTGTCTGGCCAGACTCTGTGCCCAGCAGGTGTTCTCCTCAATCCCACAGTCCTTTCTGCCTCACTTCTCTTGGAAGGCTGAGGCAGGGAAGCTTCAGAAGCAGCTGTGACTGCTTTTATCACACTCTTTGGATACTTAGAGAAGGCTTTGGGGGGTTCCAGGCAATTACACCATCAGGGAGTTAGTTCATGGACAGTGTATAGATTTCACATCTCAATTCCCTGATGCCCCAGCCACTTGGCCATTTCAGATTCACAGGAGAAGCTGAACAACTTACATATCTAGGGCACTGTGGAGATGGAGAAATTCCCTGTCCAAAAGCCCCTGGATTCTCTCTTCCCACTCATCCTGCTCTTCAAAGAACTTCCTAAAATTGCCTCTTGAATGTGTAGGTTGGTGCCGACACCGCCTTTGCACTCTGAGCTGGCTACATATCTGTGAAGCCTAGTGAAGAATGAAAATTCAAGCTTCTGGATCAAAGGGCAGAATAAAAGCTCCTTCTATGGTTGTTCCTCTCTCCCTGGCCTTGACAGATTTTCATTTGTCATTTAGTGTTGATCTCTGGCATGGGGGCATATATCCTCTGGTGATGGCACCCTCTGTCTTGGCTTGCCAAGACTGAGTCCATTTCCTCTGTTAGCTGCTGGGTACCATGCCTCAGACCATCACCACTTTCCTGTCTGGAATACTGGGTGGAGATGAACAAGAGGCCAATGTTGGGATGCCCCCAGCCCTCACTGGAAGATCCCAATGCAGAGCACCTGGCCACAGGCCTCCCATGAAGAGAGTGGGAATGGGAGGCCAACCAAGCCAGAAGAGGTGAGTGCAATGGCAGGTCCTGGGGAAGCAGCAGCAGGTAGATTTCAAGTGAACAGAGGCTCCAAGTCTCTCCTCCCCCACTCCCCCCCCCCCAGCATCGCTTGGAGAGAACTAATCCTAAGTGCACAGCCCTCCAGAGTTCCTTGAAGCTGCTTTTGTACCAGCCATGAGTGCCTCTCAGTCCTTTCACCCCAGCCGCAAGGTATTCTGCGCGCCACTTGTCAGTCTCCTCACTCATGCAGCCATATCTAATGCCAGTGCCAAGCACCTGCAGCAGGGGGAGCCCTACTCCTCCTTTACCAGCCTCAGGCTGGACTTCAGGAAGCATTTGCTGCTGGACAGTTCCCGTGGCTCACTCACTGCTGCAGGGGAGCCAGAGCCTCCAGGCAGGAGCTTCTCAGATGTCCATAGCGCCTGGGCTGGGAAAGCCTGTCCAGTCCTGCTGACCATGCAGAGTGCACACGCTGCAGGGGTGACAAACTGCCGATGGTGTCTGCCTAATCATGAGCCAGGCGTTGGTGCTTGGGCATGGCCAGCAGCGGGGTGTTAGTGCACAGTCATTTACCACAGAAGTGCCCCTAGCTACCTGATGGCCCCATGGGCCAAGAGCTAGCTACACAGCCTAAGGACTGGAACTCAGATTCCCCAACCCATGAAAGTGGGTTCGGCAGACCTTCTGTAATTCCAGCATGGCAGGAGGTGAACACGGAATCCCTGGAGCAAGCCTACCAGCCAGACTGGCTGTCTCAGGGAGGGAAGCTGCCACATATATGAGAAGATTGATCGCGGAGGACACTTGCCCTCAGGCTACTGCACATATGCACAGATATACATGCATGTCGTACACATGTATACACAAAAAGCCAAAAGTCATCTAAAACCTAGGTTTCCACCATCATACATGGTATTATTAATTCTTTAGCAAACATCTCTCAGAGACGTTCTTTTCTATACCAGGAAGCTGATACAGCCCAATAACTTCAATATATTGTCTGCACTCAAATTTCCCCCAGTTGTTTTCCAAATCATGTTTACATTGGCTTTTCTTTCTGCTCTAGGATCCAATTGAAGTTCACAGAATTACAGTTGCCCTCCTTGTCTCTTTAGATCTCTCATTCTAGAATGAACTCTCATCCTTGGCCCTTTATTCATGACATACGAACTACAATCTAATGGTCTCACCTCCTGGGGTTGCCTGGCGATTACCTCATCATTAGCCTCCAGTCAAACGTTTCCAGCAAGAACTGCACACAGGCGATGCGTGTCCCGCTCTATCACTCAGGACGCACATTAACAGCAGCACCTCAGGAACCACAAAGCACCAGCCATGCAAACCTAGTAACTGGAGTTAGACTCCTGGGTCCCACAGGGCACACACTAGCGCATCAGCTCCTCAACGTTGCACTCTGACCTCCACACATGCCTCTCCTCATGCATGTGGTACATACACAATAAATACAGTAATACATAAATCACCCAACGAATCCTACTCACTACCTTCATCCTTTCTGGAGCTGCAGTAGTCCAACATCAGGGTCCATGGGAGTCGTCTCAGACCATCACACTTACCCTTTTGTCATGATGCTGTTAGGGTTTTTGCTTCCTGGAATTCCTCCGTTGTCTCAGGCTGGAGCTGTGCTTCCCTTACCAGATCCTGGGTATTGTTTCAGGCACCAAGAGACCCTGGTTCCTTTCAGTGCACAACGTTGAGAAACCAGCATGGCCACTGGGCATGCTCAATGCCACTGGGGTGTCCCACTAGGTGTTTTGTTTCAACAGCTGAACTTTTCATTAAAAACAAAACCCTCTGTTTGGTTATTTCCAGATCAACTTAGTCATTTAAAAAAATTTCTTGCTCCTTCAAATCATATGTTCCTGTCTGGCTGACCTAGGTCAGGGAAAATGTAGAAAGAGGAAAACAAAGAATAAAGAGAGGCGCATAGCCACCTATCAAACAATACCAAACACAGTACCTTTGAAACTGGCGTGGGGGTGGCTTTGGATTTGTAGGGTTGAGTCTGTTGCACCTGGCTTTGATGTTGACTGATGGATACTTGTTCATCCCACCTAGAAAGAGAAAAGGCTCTGGGTGAGGGTCTTACTTAGGTTCTTAACATATCTGTCCCATACAGTATCACTTCAGTTCCTAATGTCTATCCAAGAAATGGTCATGGGGCATGAAAAGTGTCTCAGGGAAGCCCATAAACTAGGCTTGGAACAGAAGTCTCTAGTGCATATATCAGTGAATTCTAACATTTCATTAAAATGCCTGTAGCTCTAAAATCATCAGTCATTATGAAAGATAACTCGAGCTAGTCAGTCCTAATAACACTTGTAGTGAGAGTTTTGTAATTTTGGTTTCTTTAAAAACAACTCAGAAATGTTATAGGAATACGTTTTCATTTTAATCCCTCAGATGGGGATCAGCCGGCGACTGATTTGCCTCACACTCTAGCAGGGACATAGTTTTGTCGGCTGTGGGTAGTTTCTGTGAGTGTGTGGCATTTGGAATTCTGGGGACTTTTCAGACAGTGTATAAGTGCTAGGGCCCTGAGAGGCAGGCTTGCTGTTGTTGGCTGGTTGGTGGTTGGTTGCTGTTGATTGTTGTTTGTCAAGTAGTCACGTACAAAGAAACGAGAAGAAATTAGGTATCCTGATGGAGAAGTTCAAAACTTGCCCAAGAAACTCTTCTATGCTCCTATTCAGCAGGAAGTAGTCTAGAGATAACAATGTCCCCTTTCCCCTCTATCCCTTTTCTTCTCCTACCTAGTGTTAGAGGGTTAGTAAGGGTGGAGAAGGGTAGAAGAGAGATAAAGGATCCCACAAGACAGCAAACACCAGCTACAAATACTCTTGCCTTTGATAGGAACTCATTAGAGTATTATTTGTTTTTGTGGAATATCAAAAAGCAAAGGGAACAGGGTATTCCCTTTATGGCCTTTATGTTAGCAACAAACTAAGTGCCTTTGGGTTTAATTCATCGTCTCACTTCATTTGGGAGAGTATTAATTTTTCATAACAATAAAGCATGCTTTAATCCATTTAAAAATGCAAAAGCCAATTTTATTTATTTATTTATTTATTTATTTTATGGAGAAATTTAGAAATGTGTTATATATGCCCTGAAAGCATGAAGTCGAAAAGATTTGTTAAGCAATTAAATCTCTCTCTCTGGGAAAGCCAGGCGTAGTGTCACTTACAACTCTGGCACTGGCGAGGGAATGATAGATGGATCCCTAGGATTTTTGGCTGGCCGGCCTAGCCTAGTTAACAAGTTCCAGACCACTGAGCAACCCTGTCTCGAAAACAAATAACAAACAAAAACAGTAGACATTGTGTGAGGAATAACACCTGAGGCTGCCCTCTGGCTCACATGTGTGCATGTTCTCTCTCTCTCTCTGTCACACACACACACCTTTCCCTGGATATACAGGGTCCTTCCAACTAACAGGCATGTCCTGGGCTATAACAGAGCACATCTTCAAAACTGCTGTTACAAGAAGGGCTGTATGGTGTGACCCCAAACTGTGCAGTCCCTGACCTATAGGATGTTTTGTTTTGGTCCTGTGTAGGACTTTTGTTTTGGGGTAGGGTCTTATTGAGTGGCTTGGGCTGGCCTTGGACTTAAAGAAATCCTCCTGCCTCTGCCTCTCAAGAGCAAGAATTACAGGTATGCACTGTGTCACCAGGTCTGGCTTTGGGTTTTCATTTTTGTTTGTTTGTTTGAACTCTAAGGAGAAGGTTGATGAACCAGCAGGAAATGTGCTGCTCTGATGTGGATGCTGCTCTGCTGTCCCCTAAACACTTGGAAGGCTTCCCGTGGCTTCCAAAGGGCAGTAGCCAGGCCTCTTCCCTAAGCCTGGTGCCTACATAGCCAGCAGCTCAGAGTAGATGCCGAGTAGTTACAACTGTGTTGAATGGGTACGGCTGTGCGGGCCTGTGGTGGAAGTGGCCTCCTTCAGTTTTACAGCTGTATTTTGAAGATGGCACTTTCTACATGTCTCAGCTCTGGAAGTGGGGTAGGTGGCTCATGGTTCAAGAACACTTCCTGTATCTCCCATGAGCCCTGCCTGCTCTTTTCTGAAAACATCTCTGCTCTTTTCCTGAGGGGGAGGGTCTGCCTCCTCTGATCATGTAATTAATTGGATGTGCTGGCATGGAACTGCAGGAAGAATTATGGAATACCAGGAAGGAAACCCCAGATCAAGTCTCCCTCCCCAACCTTGTGGGCCACCAAGCATGCTTCTTTTCAAGTTCACCAGATTTACCAGGTGGTCTTTTGTTCAACCCTTATGAAACTCAATCTGACTATGGGTTCTCACTACTCCCAGACCTGTGTTTCTGAAACCTTTTCGGATATGCGAGTCTCCTGGGAGCTTTTGTAAGATGCACATTCTGGTTCAGAGCATCCGGGGCAGGGCCTGAACCCTGCACCTCTAACTCCAGCCGGTAGTTCATGCTGGTCCTAGACTCACCCTGAGTAGGATGTGACATCAGGGCCACTAGCAGCCTCTCTGCACTGTTCAGTGTCTCTGCAGTCTTAACCCAACTCACTGTTTAACACAGTGACAAGTTTGGGAAATGGCCAGGCACTCCCTCAAGCATTCTTCAGCCTATGCATTCCCTTTCCTTTGTCTGGATGGCCAGAGTCAGCAGGCTCTGAAAACCTGAGACATTTATCCACTGCTTCTCCACCTTCTGCCTCATATCCGGCCATGGTTCCTCCTTAGCCATCCTGTTGCATCCAAAATGGCTTGTCTATTTTTCAGGGTGCCCATTTCAAAACAAAATGGGCCATGTTTGTTGCCTTACGGGCACCAGTTAATCTCACTACTGGATCGCAAGATGTCATGAAGCCAGGAGAAAGATGGTCAAAGCCATGCCTTTCATTCTAAATGACATATGATAAAATGGCACCTCCCAACACTCCCAGCTCTGACTCGGGAACTTGTCAAAGCAAGGCCAAGAATTGTTTCACTTTTTTTTTTTTTTTTTTTTTTTTGGCTTCTCTCTGTGTGCTAACTGCAGAAACCTCTCACCAAAGGGAAGCTCGTTAGTGTTACATGGCAAGGGTTCTGCTTGGCGGCCAGTGTCCAGGCTGTGACTTCACACCCTCAGATTATACCTCTCTAGGCAGACAGATGTGTGGACAGCTTGCTTGTTATGATTGCTTCTCCATAGGAACCAGAGGCATAAAAAAGATGAGCCAGGAAATTAAATGCGTAGGAACCAGAGTGTCCTCCCTCCCACCTTCCATTAGTACAGACTTTCCTCTCTGACCCTGCGGTGCCTTTGAAGACAAACAAGAGAATCCAAGGGCGCACGCCAGCTCATCACCCTTCTGGGGAATGTCAAGTAGGCTCTTATGTACAAGGAACGGTTTTATGACTTACGCCTGACGGAGTTTATAAAGGACTTCACAAACTTCACACTATATCCATGGTCAGGTTTGTGAATTCGGCCAAGCTGGATCAAGTGCTGGTCCACGGGGTGACTAGCCAGGTCTTCCAGTTCCTTGTCGTTCCAGTCGGGGCCCAAGGAAAACACAAAGATGGCGTATCCGTGACATTTGGCTCGTAGGGACTCTTTCTTCAATGTTTCCTCATCCAGGTGGCTGGTTTCCCCAGTGGATATCACAAATATGACTTTGTTTCTTCTCAGATTGGGTGTGTTTGAGAAGATGTTGTCCAGAGCCCACCCGAGAGCATGGCCAAGGAAAGCGTCTCCGTTCAGCTGCTGAGCTCTATGCTCCACATGCCTCTTCATGAGGCGCTTGCTGCTGTAGGTGGTTAGGTTGAACTCAGGTCTAACTGGACTCCTCTGGGTGTTTGGCAGGAAGTTTGGGGGAGCATGGCTCAGTAGGGCCACCCTGTCTCCAGTGACAGATGTCTCTGGCTCTGGAGTGACTTCGAAGTGGTCCAGCAGTGCCTCCAGGAAATCCCTCATGTCTTCAAATTCTGCACTTCCCATGTGCCGGGAGCCATCCAGCAGGAATGCAGCGTCCAGGTAGGACTGTACTGGGGGCGGTTTGGCTTGGTCGCAAGATGCATCCGGCTTGCATAAGTCTGCAAATCAAGTCACTTAGAGTTACTGAGCAGATACGGACAAAAAGTGGAAAGATTCTACCTCAGCTGTTTTAGCATCTGGGAACTACATAGACTTCGCTCATAGGATAGTTATGTCTTTAACATCAAGAGTTTATGAACCAGAGGTCCAGATCTGAAGCCAACATGAGCCCTTGACTCTATTCCGTGTTACCAGTTTTTAAAGTTGTGTTCCATGGAAGTTTAACCTTGAATGTTGTGTTCATGAAGACTGGAATGAGTGGTTCGTCTCCTGCATACGAGAACACAATCTAGCGCTGGCAGTGTGCCTCTAAACCAAGAGCCTTCATCACTACACTAGCTGTAAAAAACTCATCTGCCTTGAAAACTGAGCTTTAAGGGACATTGGATCTTTCATTTCAATTTAAGTAAGGGTTCACAACTTCATGCCCCTTATAAAACATGTTATTCCATAAAGTGAAGTCATTTTTCTAAATATGCCTTTCTCATTATGCATGCATAGCAAGAAGAAACAGAGAGCGGAGTTTATTGAATGTGACCACAATGAATGCTCAGAGGAATATGATAAATTGGAAATGGGAGGATTCTCGAAGTCACTTAATCTATTTTCACAGAGCCAAATGGAGCAGGAGAGTAAGTCGTTTACAAAGGATGCACCATATTTCTAGAAGCGTCTGTACATGAAGTCAACGGTACTTCCTTTTTAACATTTACCTATTTGTGTACACATGTGGGCACTTGTAGCCCAGCATGTGTGTGAGGCAGAGGGCAAGTTTCACTTGTCTGCTCCCTCCTACCAAGCTGTCATGTCTGGGGACACACACCTTTACCCACTGAGCTACTTTGCAGGCGGCATGAAGTCAGTGTTTTGTCATTAAAGACACCAGAGGTAGCAGAATGGCCACTCCGCCTGAGAGCTGGGATGCCTACGTTCTGGTCTCACAACAAACATGACATCACACTGGCCAAGCCACTGCTGGGTTTCAGTTGTGTCCAATTTCTTTGTACTTCTAAGTAGTTGTACCTAGCCGGAAATCAGGCGTACTCAGATTTCCTCGAAAGGCTGATATTCTGTCAGTAAATGTGATGACTGAGGGTAAGAGTGGGTTCTCTAAAAACCAAAGGAGATATGGAGAAATAGACTAACAAGCATACAGATGGAACTTAGACCATAAATACCAACTATTAAATGAAAAATTTAATGGCTAGCATGTGGGTCCCGGGTGTGTAGCAAACCTCCCAGCTTCATGCTTGCTCATGGACTCAATATAGATGGCTCTGCCTAAGCCCCTTACTGAAGTTCAGTGAAATTTTATGACCCTGCCTAATGACCAGACGACACACCTGTGTACAGAGCAGTTTCTACAATCAGGGACAGCATGCTGCCCATTTGCTCTGTTTTGTGGGGTTTTTTAATTGCAGCAAATGACAGCCAAAACATCTTCATTGTATGCCTAGGAGACAAAACAGGGGTTTAAGCCAAGGCGAGGAGCCAAAACTCTATCCCCAGTCACATATGTGCAGCTACTGACTGTGCAGTGGATCAGCGTTGGAACAGACATGTCCAGGGGTGCCATTGAGAATGCATAGGGCAGATGGATCTTAGCGCTTCGCTGGTTTCTGGGAGGGAGAGTGCCAGGATGCAAAAGTTCCCAGTGAGATCCACAGGACTGGAGGCTGTGAGCAGAGAACTATTCCAGGCCTGCGGAGGGAGACAGAATAGGAACCTGGGAACTGTCCTCTTCTCAGAATCATCCTTCACATGTGAGGCCATTGTACTGGCTGGTCTTGTGTGCCAACTTGACACAGCTAGACTCAGAGAGGAAGGAGCCTCAGTTGAGGAAAGGCCCCCATGAGATCCAGCTGGAAGGCATTCTCTCAATTAGTGATGAATGGGGGAGGGCCCAGCCCATGATGGGTGGTGCCAACCCTGGGCTGGTGGTCCTGGGTTCTATAGAGAGCAGGCTGAGCAAGTCACGGGAAGCAAGCCAGTAAGCAGCAACCCCTCCACAGCCTCGGCCTCTGCATCAGCTCCAGCCCTGCTTGAGTTCCTTCCTGGTTTCCTCCAATGATGGATTATGGCCTGGAAGTGTAAGCCAAATACAACCCTTCCTCCCCAACTTGCTATTTGGTCATGGTGTTTCTTCGCGGCAATAGAAACTCTGAGACAGTCATCTGCACATCTATTCCGCAAACCCCAGCATCCCACTGACTCACACGGAGAAAGTATCAGGTATCTTCTCCAGGTCTAAATGGAGAGTTTCTGGGAGCAGAATCAGAGACTCATTTTACAAAAATTAAAGGCACTTCGGAGCCGGATTTCCTGGCTCTGATCTGGTTGTGGGCCCTGAGAAAGATGGCATGTCTCCCTCAATTTTATCTCCCTCATTTGTACAATGGCACTAATAATAATTCAAGCATTTCAGTGTGGTGATAAGCCTAGACTGACATAATATACGTAAACCAATAAAAACCATGCTTAGAACGTGAGAGGCCGAATAGCTGAAACATCAGTTGCTGCCACAATAGTCGGTGTCACACAGCCTATAGCAGTGCAAAGCCTATAGCAGGATGGTGGTAACGGCCTGCTGCCCTGACCACGTGGAACCCTGGTGGTTTCTACACGGTTGTAGAGCGTCACATGAAAGATGAGAGACCGTCTCCAGCCAGACCAACAGACTGTGCAGAGAACACCACGATCAATACTGCAAATCTTTTAGTTGCCTAACTCTTGGGAATCTATGAAGACTCCTGGATGAGAATGTGTGAGTTTATGCCTTCTACTCCTACTGCACTGAAAAACAAATTTCCAACCAGAAAGGTAGGTGCCAGTGGTCCTAAAGCCTTTATGGGGGTCTGTGAACATTTGAGATTTATAAAACACATATAAAATACTTTATAGTATGAAAAACTTGGCAAGGAGATGGGTTGTTTTTTTGTTTTGTTTTTTAATCATTACTGTTTCCTGGAAGCTGCACTAAAGTGGAGGGGCCAGGAGTGTAACCCTCCCGCTGGGATGCAGGGGAAGGACCCTGCAGGCTGCGCTGAGAGGTTCCATCTGTGTGTGCCCCCCAAGCCCCATCTAGATCTGCCTTAGGCTGTGCATATCCCTATGGCCAAGCTCCAGCTGCTCCGGCCAACGGTGACTCAACACACTAAGGCCTGATCCAATTCGCTTCTCCCCGTGGCTCTCACCATAGCAGAAAGTGCACCGCTGGAGTCTCTCTAAGGCTGGCGCGTCGTCAGTCCCAGAGGGAACCACAATGACTTGGAATGTGCCAGTGTCATCAATCTGGAAGCAGCAGAAGCAAGAGAAAGAACTGCTTAGCGGGTTGAGACGTAAGAACCTTCCAGCGCTGTCCAAGAGCCGAGGTCAGGTGAGGGCAACCCCACAAGGCTGCTGGGAGGTGGCCCTGCTGGTTTTAACCCTTGACTCTTTCTTCAGCTGTCAAAAGGGAAGTCTATTACTGCTATGTAATAGAATGCTGAGAGCCCCACCCACCCTGCTCCACTGCGAAGCAGTTACTGGCACAGAGTGGGTGCCACGTGGGTTAGTGGGGAGCACAAAGCATTTCCTATCCATCACCCAGCCAACCAGGGCATTCCCCACCCTCGTTCTTCACATAGAGGAACTGATGCTCAGAGAAACGTTAAGAGCTGATCAAAAGAGGCAGCCTGCATTCAAGTCAGTTACAGAAAAGGATGACACTCAGCCCACCCTCACCCCAAGTCCCAGAGAACCAGGAAACCAAGGCTGCTCTTTATACCGCAGTCAAACTGACAACCAAAGAGCGACTTCACTTTCTTTTGTAAACTAGGCATTGAAGCAGAAACTGGCTCAGATCTAGGCCTAGGTGGCTTTTTCCCTCAAAACATCCCAATGCTTTTACAGCAGCAGTATCATTACTGGCCCGCCAGGGAGCCAGAGGGTGCAAAGCCCTGACTCACGCCCCAGCAGGAGCGACTTGACACTGTTGGTGGCTTTCATATCTATGTCTGGTGTCTCGAGTGAACCACACCTTGGTCCACCTGAACAGGGATGAGTGCCTAGAGGCCAAGCTGGGGCCAGCTCGGAGAGCATGGAGAGCAGATAAGGATGTGCTCAGGGACCAAGATGTATGAATTAGCCTGTCAACTGTGAGACGGTTAATGGTGAAGAGGAATTATAGTGATCCCATCCCGTGACTAAGACCGGTCAGGTGATATTTGCTCCATAATGAATTACTCTTACTTAGACTCTCAAGTAAATAGCTCTCCTCTCTGACATGTCTCACCCCCATAGAAGTCCTAGTTACTCGGGGTTACACCATTTCTCTGACCAGAGCCACCTGGACCGTGGCAGGACATCTGAGCCAGACAGAACTGTTCTTTCAGCAGTTGGGACTGCAGGGCTAGAGCGGTGGTTGTCAGCCTCCCTAATGCTGCGAACCCTTTTAATACGGCGCCTCGTGTTGGGGTAACTCTCAACCACAAAATTATTTTTGTTACTACTTCCTAATTGTAATTTTGCTACTGTTATGAATTGTGATGTACGGACCTGTTTTCTGATGGTCTTGGGTGACCCCTGTGAAAGGGTCATTCGACCACCAAGGGGTTGAGGACTGCTGGTCTAGAGATAGGGGTCTGCAGTTACACAGGGGACCACGTTCTATCTAGTGGATGGGGGAAGGAGAGGAATGGGAAGAAAGGAGGAGGGTGTCTCCCTGAGGCCTAGCTCTGTTTATGCTCGTTTTTTATTTTACACCACAGCACATGGAGGAATCTGTGGTCATCAGAGTCCTCTCTGGCTACCTACTGCTTTGCCTTGATATTTTTCCTGCCTTGGAGGAGAAGACTCCGAGAGCGAGTAAGAACTGAAGATTTGGGTCATAACCTAATCTATGACAGGTAATAACCTGTTCTAGACACAGATCCACGGAGAAAGGAGCAGGGTGCTGCAGAGAAAGGCAAGGAGGCAGAAAGCAACTCAAGCAAGCATGTTGTGGCACAAGGGGGCAGGCATGGAGATTGGACAGTGAGGGGGACAGGAACTGTAGTGACATGAATGAGGACTTCGTGTAGAGGAACACAACGCTCTGTTTCCTCTATCTTCAGTAAAGTCACCACCGCTCACGGACTGTGCAAATGGATTCTTGTCCAGAGTGGCTGGAAACCAAGCCAGTGTCAGCTCAGAGACTGGGTCAGGCATCCGGGGTGGGAGTGGACCACAAGGATTTTTCTTGCTTGCCGATCATGATACAGAATAAGCCAAAAGATGATTTAGAAACCATGTAAGCCAGTCCCGTTGCTTTACAGAAAGTGAGCCCAGGATGGGATTGGGGTCCAGGAGGCTGTGGAGGGAGCTTTGCTCTTCCCCAACAAGAACTAGCCCCCCTGCTCCAGCCCCTCTTATGGTCTAACATCGTAATTGAGAATGATGTTTCTCTGGATGCTGTCCAGGGAACGTTGTCATCTGCTAACTAGCTTTGTGTTCTATGTATTTACAACATAACAACGTCCACATTTCTGGTGACGACCCTGCTTAGCAATGGGTACTCACGTTTAATCATGTATCAGAACAAGGAAAAGCAGATCTTCCTCACTGATTCTAATGAGTGGCTGCTGGCCTGCATACTCCTGACAGCCCAGAAAGTGGTCTCTTTATAAAGTCTGAACGCTGTGGTGTTAGGGATAATGGGTCCCACAGCTTACCACTGGAGTGGCTGTGGTATCAAAAACATTCCTCAAAGTGAACATGAGCTGAGATTTAAAATGAAAAGTTTCGGCGTTTTTTTTCTCCTGTTGCGTATTTTCCTGAAAGAGGCAAAGCAGCAGCAGCGTGGCCGAGAGCGGAGCTAACATGGCTGCGGGTGCACAGTGTGGGCATCCTGTGGGCAGCTGGATGACTTTTTTCCTTTCAGAGACATCACAGGACTCCATAAGAAAAAATGACGTTCTAATATGATGGAAAGTTTTCATTCTTTAGAATGCTTGGGGGAGGCCAGGTGTGCCAGCTAGGCTTATGTCAACTTGATGCAAGCTAGAGTTATGTGAGAGTAAGAACCACAGTTGAGAAAATGCCCTATGAGATGGCCTGTAGGGTCACCCACAGATGTGGCTGATGTGGGAGGGCCCATCCCACAGTGAGAGGTGCCGCCCCTGGACGGGTGGCTCTGGACACTGTAAGAAAGCAGACTGAGCAATGTGTGGGGAGCAAGCCGGTAAGCAGCCTCCCTCCAAGGCCTAGAGCACATAGCAGTGAACAACCCGTCTCAAACAAGGTGGAAAGTGAGGCCCAACCCCCAGTTTTGTCCTCTGCCAAATGTCAAGAACACACAAAGCCTATTTTTGTTTTTGTTTGTTTTGGTTTGCTTGGGTTTTTTTTGTTTGTTTGTTTGTTTGCTTTCTTGCTTGTTTTTTTGTTTTTTGTTTGTTTGTTTGGAGGACAGATTTTCTCTGTGTAGCCCTGGCTGTCCTGGAACCCACTCTGTAGACCAGGCTGGCCTTGAACTCACAGAGATCCACCTGTCTCTTCCTTCCGAGTGCTAGGATTAAAGGCGTGAGCCATCATGCCTGGCTCTGCACAAAGGTTAACAGCTGTGGGACCTAGGCCAGAAGCTGGCCTTCTCTGGGTTCGGCCTTTTCATCTACAAAATGAAAAAAAAAAAAAAAAAGATTTCCATTTGGTGCCCAGTGGCTGTGAGGATGGATACTGAACATGAGAACTTATCCAGTCCTGGTGAACAGCAGCAAAGCATCTACCATTGTATTTTGCTAACTTGGAATGACCTTGTTTTGAAGGTAAGAAAATGTAGCTATAGTCTTTCTTATGGGGTTTCTGACTATTGGAGAAGGATGTGAACAAAACGTGTTTCATGCCATGCTTACCGAAAAGGCACGCTTGACAGAGGGCACGTTGCTGAATGCGATCACCACGGGCACAATGTCCAGGGCGCTGAACTCCATGGCAGCTGTGGTGATGGACTGGACATCAGCCGACTGACCACTGCTGAAAAACGTGGCGATTCTTCTCACGTGACCCCCGGGAAGGGTTCGCTTGAAGACATTCCTGGAGACAAACCTCATGGCTTTGCCAATCTCCCTGCTGTCAGAGGATCTCTCATAAGGAAGCGCTTTAATTTCCCTGAGCAGATGGTCCTTCCTCAGGGCGTCTGAGAACCGGATGAGGTGCCTGGTGCGGGAGTTATAGGATAAGATGGCAACTCGGGCACCCACGGGGCAGCTGGCCCCCCTGACTTTGACATCCCTGACTAGGGAGATGATCATTCCCTTCATCCGTTCAAAGTCCTGCTCTGTGACACCCCTGGACTGGTCCAGGACAAACACCAAATCAGTCGGATGTACTGGGCACTCGGGTTTTCCTGAAAGACAAAAAGTACACCTCTTAGCATGTAGAATGTCAGCCCGAAAGCAATACACAGAAAGCAAAATCATTTTAAATGCTAACTACTCAAATATTTAAACAGTAAATAATTAATAACCCAATATTAAAACATATAAAATATTAAATGTTTACATCTTGAATCATTAAAGTTGCTGTTCTAAAGGCCAGCTATCTGTTCTTCTGAGATGAGCACAAAAGAAAACAGTCTAAAATCAACATGATTCGGGATTAAGTTTGAAAGTTAATTACCCAAATCCTTCTAAATGGCGGAACATTTTTGGAAATGTCCTTAACCCTGTAGGAGCTGGCTCAAAGGCACAGTCTTTTGCATCTGTACTTTAATTATGTTAAAACACAAATTATTTTCACTTAATAAGGGGAAAAAAAAAAACCAAGGGGAAAAAGAACTTTAAAGGAATGGCTGTGGAGACTCCTTTTAAAATAAAATAAAAATGGAGGACAAGGGTCTAGGGATGGAGCTCTGTCTGTAAGGTGCTCACCGGGCATGTACAAAACCCCATATGGTTTGAGCCCCAGCACCATATAAAACAGATATGGTAGTGTATGCCTGTAATCCCACACTTGGGTGGTAAAACCGGGAGGATCAGAAGTTCAAGGTCATCCTGAACTACAGAGCTTCACAGACAAAAAGAATGATTCCTTGGCCAGTTACAGAATGTGCTTAAAGCCAAATCAATTCATCTCAGGGGAGAGGGGACATACTTTATTAGTGTAATTAGTGGGGTGAGTGAGCAGATTTTTCAAAATCAAAGTAATGTTAATTTTACAATAAAAAGGTGAATCTGAACTAAACGTGAACTTGATGCTTCTAGCTTTGTGTTTGGGTTGTTTTGTATAAGGTACAAAACCAGCAATGATGCTGGCATAATTTGGAGATACAGGGAAGAAAAGATTAATGGCACTGCCTGAAAACACAGAAAAGGTTTTAGTTGTCAACAAAACAAAACAAAGCAAAAAACCTTAACGGCTAGTTTGAAGTACAGCCATGTTGTACCTGGCATGCTATTTCCAGATGTACAGAACTTTGGAGAGTGTGCGCTGATGGCTTCTGCCTACCACAAGGCAGGTGGCATCTCTGCCTACATACCAGCCCCCTACCAAGTCCCCCTCTGGCCTTAGTAATAATTACAACTTTTTATTTGAAAGTTTGTTGTAATAAACTACGAGATTAGCCAGACCCAAGGTCCATACTTCTCAGCGAACTGCTACACAGAGCAGCCATTCCAAAGCTGTGGAGCTTCACATTGGACGTCACGCTTGCACTGTCCATTGCATTTTTATCCACTTATCAACAAGGAAACCCAAACAATCCACGACAGAGTTAAAACCAGAAAAACAACTAGCTTTATATCCTCTTGCGTGACTAGTGCCCTTTTCCCTCACCCAGCCCTTCCTCGCCACCTTTCTTGTTCTCCTCTCCAGCTCCACTTGGTTTCGACATGCCAATCTCTCCCCATCACTGTATCACGGGGAAACTGGGTTCTGGTGCTTCCTAGGGAATGTCTAGGTCTGCCCTGTCCCAGAGCTCTGGTGTTTGAATTCCCTTGCCTTGCACTTGGAAAACTGTGGCTCCTTTAGTCCTGACTTCAACTTCACTGCTGCAGAGAGGAACCCTGGCCCCAAGAGTGCCCACCCTGGCTCGTGACATTATTCTGCAACAGTGCAGCCTGTGCTTTAGCTCAGATTCTCAATTCTTTCCTTTGTTTTTAATCTGGATTCTCCAGATTAAAGTCAGGAAGTCAGGAATCGTGTGTGTGTGTGTGTGTCAGGATGACAGAAACATACATATGTAATAAGCATTGGTAAAATGCATTAAAAATGAGACTAAAAGATACTGAGCAAAGTTGTGATTAACACTGAGCACAAGGTACGTGGGTCTCAGCATTCTCTCCCCTGCACATTTCACTCGTGATCGGATCCTGTTTTTATTCTGCCTTCTGTATCTTACCCACCTAAGTACAGAGGAGACATGACAGGGTGCTTGGGGAACATAGAGTGGGAAGAGAGATGCAAAGAGAGACCAGAGAAAGAGGGAGGGGAGGAATGATGTTTTTAAAAACCCGGTAGGGATGTGAATGGTGAGGCATGTCATTAGCATATTATTCACAAAGAAAGGGCCTTCCGGAAAACATCAGTGAAACTCAGCTAGAGCAGATGAGTCATTAGAGGCAAGTGTTTGCTCTGGGTGTGAGCAAAGGAATCCCAGGTCCAACTTCTCTGAGCTGGCAGGCAGCACCAATGCTCGAACTCATCTTCCAGGTGGGAGACTCCTTGGAGCTTGAGTAAATCGTGCTGTAAAGGAAGATCACTCACCGTGTCTGACAGCTGGGGAGGAAGAACAAAAGAACAAAAGACAGTGGGTTATTCCTCATTGGGACGCCAGGTTGCTAAACCACCCAGGAAAATCGGAGCAGGGAAGCCCCTCCTGCTTGTGTGCAGAACTCAAGGCCACAGTCTGGAGAAGACACAGGCTGTGCCCTGCATGCTGGTATAGCAGGAGTGGAGGGAATGGAGGAAGTGGGACAACAGGGCCATAAACCAGCATGCTGCAGCCTGCTGCACAGGGGCAGAGACCCTTTGTCTGTGGGGGAGCATAATGTCACAAGAGCCGAGCTCGATTTGATAAGTTAGATGGTCCCAACCTGTCTTCCCAATTTCTCATGTACATAATTATAGACGTCAACTAGGTGTGTGTATACATGCGTGCATTCACGCATTTATTTGTTCGTTTGTTTTGAGGAGGCATATGGGGATGATGGAGACGAAGCCTTCCTCATTTTCTCGTGACTGGCTAATCACTCCACCATAGTGTTACGCCCCCCGCCCCAAAGGCTAGACTCTTATCTTTGCTTTTCTCTTCTGCAGAGCTGGCAATTGAATCCAGGCTCTTGCTCAAGCTAGACAGGTGCTCCACCAATGCCCCGCATCCCAAGTTCTAAGTTATACGTATATTTGCAGATGTCTATGTGCATAGATGTAAATACCCATAAATGTATGTGTACATGTCTAGATTAGTGTGTCTATGTGTTCAAATAGTGTATGTCTCTTGTCTGAAAGGCTGGAACTATTGAGTGTTACTGATTTTAGAGTTTTTTTTTTCAATTTGGAATATTTACATATATACATAATGAAATCTTCTAGACAGACCAAGTCTCAAGACAAAACTCACTATATTTCAGATGTACTGATGTATAATGTATATAAACTGAAGGTAGTTGTATATGTTGTATTTAGTGTGCCCATATTCTCCCTGCAGCTTGACACATGGGGACAGGTGTGAACTTTTCCACTTGTGACATTATGTCAGTAATCAAGATGTTTGGGGGTCAGGGAGGAGTCACCCTGTATGTGGACACGTTTTTGTATCACATCGTTAAAAGTGACAGACGCACTCTGAAAGAAATAAACACCGGCTGGACCCACACTGCCTAGCCACAAATCACGGGGAGTGGTTTACATTTCAGACAACTGAATGAAAAAATTAGCTTCTCGTTTGACACTCTTCACAGCTTAGTGTCCAAAGCCACACGTGACTGGCAGCTAGGCTACTGAATGGTGCAGGGAATACCTCCCCTGTGGCAGATTGTCTCACTGAGCAGTGCTGCTTCAGGCCACTCATTTGCAGAGGTCCCCTCCCCTGCAAGGCCAGGCCTGGAAGAAGTCCTGACCTATTCACTTGGTCGTGTGCCTTCATAAAACATACAGATGTTATTAATTCCTTTTGTGTTCTAGTTCATACATCTGAAGTAATTGTGTCTACCTTGGACCAAGTGGGCTGGGTGGAGCCCTCACCTTTTGAAAACAAAGGCCCCACTCTCTGTTCTGCCACAACTCGTTACTGTTCGCTTGGCTCTCATGTCGGGTAAAAACCTGCTCTACTAAGTCAACCTCAAACAGCCTGTCTCCATGGACTCACAGTACAGGCTTGTATTCCTCCCAGCTTTCCTTTCTGCTATGAGGAGGCAAAATCCTGAGCATCGTAACTCAGTGGATTCTAGAGCCATTAAAATTCTGTGTCTCTGGGCCTGGAGAGATGGCTCCTTGGCCAAGAACACTGGCTGCTTTTGCAGAGGACCAGGGTTTGATTGCCAGCTACACAGTAGCTCACAACGGTCTTGCAAGTCCAGTCCATGGGACCTGATGCCCTCTTCTGGCATCCATGGGTATTGCATGCATGTGCTGGAATATGCTAAGAAAAATACACATACTTATGCATATTCAAAACACATAATTTTTAAAAAAGTATGTGTCCTTAGGAGCACTGTGCTCTATAGAAATGGGTTCTACTTTATTTGGGTTTTCTCCCCAAAGTGCCTTGAAGAAACTTTTAGCTCTTCCTTTCAGTTTCTATATTTACTCAGGAAGTCTTATGCATGTTTAAATCAACATTCAACCCGATGAAGGTGTGTGTGAATACAGAATTATAACATCAGTCGATATTTACAACACGAGGGATACACCCTGTTACAGGGCTCTTAAATTCAAATGAGCTTTGGGCAAATCTGAATGCCTTTTTGATTTTTACATTTTTTGAGAGAGAAAATTACTGGCCGAGTGAGTGCCACCATGAATTTTACAAGCCAATCAATGATTCCAGTCAAGCACATCTTTCCAGGAAAGAGAGCGATAGAGCATAGAGCAAAGTCAGGCTTCCACCCACCAGGACACATTATCACAGCTGTCTCTTCATGCTGCTGAGCTCAGTCCTGTCAATTATTGCCTGACACTAACAATCATCTCAAACTCAACTCAATATGAATCTTCCCCAGCCGATTTGACCACTAGGAAAGTCCTGACTCCCATCTTGCCCAGATTTAAAGCCCTCCAGTGAACATGACAGCACAGCACTGGGAACAGGCTCCAACACAGACTCAGAGAGGAAACAGATACACGAGGCACCACCCTCTCCCTGTGGACTCAAAATTTACTCATGACATCTCTAATATTAAGAGACTGGTTGGCAAATTGCATCTGTTCTGGGAGCCCAGTTCCCTACCTTCCTTCTAAGAAAGCTGATAGGTTGGGGATTGGAGGGGGATCGTTTTAAACGGGGTACTTACGGCTGTGGTCCCGTACATACTGAATGAGCTCACATGTCTGCAGTTCAAAAATAAAACAGAATCAACGACGTCTCTGGGTTATGAAGCTTGTAAATAAAGTTAGTGGCGTGCTCAGAGCACCCTGCCGGCACAGGAGATACATACGGAAAACGAAGCCTGTCCTCGGGGTCCTTTCACGCCCTAGGAGAGGAAACAAGCAAAACCTGTTATATGGCTGCAGATGTGCACCTCAGTAGCCAGGATGAGTACCAACACTGCCCAGGAGCCCTTTGAAGAGGGTTTACTCCCATAATGTTAAAGGGAGCAGAGAACGCAGGGAGGACACACACTGCCCAGGGAAGAGGGCGCTCGGTGTGCAGACAAGCCTCCAAGGCCACTTCCCCAGATCTTGGCAGAGATGCCCAGAACGTGGTGGAGCTGCCCACCTGATGGAGACCCATGGAGCCCTGGAGCAGGTGTTCAGCTCCGAACTAGCAAAGGTGGCACTGTCTGCTCCCAGCTGCCCCTCCCGTGACTGAGTCTTGGAGTCTTCCACCCTGTGCTGTATCTCCCCTGTGAGAAGCGGCCAAAGCTGAACCAAGACCATTCCAATCCACGGCCAGTGGACAAAGCGGCCAGCCTCAAACACCTGAAAAGCCAACTCAGCGTCTTCTCCCAAAGGAATACATAGGTGTGTATATCCGGGTGGATGGGAGTTGGGAAGAGCAAAGCTGGTTTATCTTTTCTTTTTCAATATCATCCCAGAACGAGAAGAATCCGGTTCTCTCAAACAGAAAAACTGAAGGAAAAATACAATGGTGCTCACCCAAACTCCCAGTTATGTTCCATGGGAATGCAACTTTAATCACACTCAGTGTTCATCATCATCATCATCATACACACATACCCTTCATTAATGATCACTTGCTCATATAAGATGGAGACAGTGTTTGGACAGATAACCAAACTCATTGAGAAGAGTGCAAAACCTCGGGCTGCTGAGGTGGCTCGGTGGGCAAAGGCACTGACAGGCAAGCCTGACCACCTGAGTTTAGTCACCAGCACCCGCACAGTCAAAGGAGAGACCTGATCTCTGACCCCTACAATGTGCCGTGGCACGAGCCCCAGCCCCCCAATAAATCAACCTATAAATGAAAAAGAAATTATTTTGAAAGAGAAACCTCATTTTGGCCTCAGCTTCTCCCTTTATGTCCCCCTTCCGGTGAGATATATTTCATTCTTAGGCCCCATTTTCTCCCTTGCTAGAGCACACAGAATAGTGAAAGCCACGGCAAAGCATCAGAGGCAGAAGGTGTGCCCACACGCTGGCCTCTCAAGTGTAAAGCTCTCAGAGGGAATACTCCTTACCTTCCGTCCAGGGGGGCCTGGCTCCCCAGGGGATCCCAGCTCTCCTGGAAGCCCAGCAGACACCTTGGAGCAGGATTAATTCACGTTAAAATAATATTTTATACATATGGGATTTAAATTCAGATTTAAAGTACTGACACTATTTCAAAAATAAAAGTCCAAAGCAAACAAACAAACAAACAAATCCATTTTCATTTTAGAAAATTGATAGATTTCTAAAATACTGCCTGTCACTATTTTGGCTACTTTTCTTGTTCTTTTGGGATTAAGACATCTTTTTAGAAACTGACATGTATCATCATTTTTTCCTGGTGCCTCTATCTTGGTTTTTTTTTTATATATAAGGTCTTCCTTTATATAGTGCTGACTGGCCTCCAATTCATGATCCTCCTGCCCATGCTTCCCAAGCTTTGGAATGACAGGCATGTACTACCATGCCTGGATCCCTGCTCCTTTTCAAACTACATATAATTTATACTTAATTATATATAAGTAAATATATACTTATATAGAAATATAGAAAACATATATTAATTAATTAAATATATTAAAATATAAACATATGTGTTTAATATACAATATACTGATGTAATATAGAAATGTATATATTTAATATTTATATAGATATATAAAATTTATAAATTTATATGCTTGGCAGTGCCAGATGCCTCTAGAAGCAGAGGTGAAGTGAAGAGCCTAAATAAGGAGGATTAATGGAGAAGTTTTACCAGGTAGTTGGACAGACTTTTCCCTACTAGCAAAAAACAAATTACATTTATCTATAAATATGTAATTATATATTTAAATAATATATATTTCTCTTATTAAATATTCCCATGCATAAAAATCAGCCTTTACTTTGTGGAAATAACCACTCTCCGTAGAGTTCAGGACCAAGGTCACAATGAACCAGGAGACCAAATGGAAATATGCAAACTGAGTGTGAGCCTCCAGCTCTTGTTGCTTTTGTGTCTTCTAGAAGACTGGCACTGGAATCTGTACTCCCCAAAAAGGGGTAGAAGGAGTTTTCAGAGGAAAACCTAACTGAAAGAAGATAGACTAATATGGATTGTGAAGGGCTGTTTAGTTAGCATAGAGTTCCATTAGATCACTGTCCAGTAAAATGCATATGTGGCAAACCTCAGTCATGTCCTCGTGTCCAGTCAGACCTTTTGTGCTCAATTCTCTGTGAATGTACAGCTTATCTTGAGATATATTACAGATAAAGGTCAAAACAGAAGACAAAAATGCAGGAAACAGACTATGTTGAACAGAGAGGGCCTAGATACTCATTTATGTCCTCAGAGAGATAAGATGCTTCAATCATGAAACGAGAACAGTATACTACAGAAAAGGAACAGCTAGATTTTAACAACAAACTTTTTAAAGGTAACGTATGGGATATAAATAAAAAATAAAATCAAGATACCTTCTCAAGAACATCAAAGAGATGTTATAAAGTAAGAACAATAAGAAGCAAAGGAAAGAGTCCATCATTTCACTGAATGACAAGTAATTAAAAAAAATAAAGAATAGAGAACACTGGAGGGGATGGACACAAGCCAATGAAATAATTTGCGTTTCCTAGAACTGGAGGGCACATATTTGCAGGGTCAAGGGGCTTGCTTAATTTTCAGGAAAATGGGTAAAAATGGACCATATGCCAGGTAACAAAATGCACGGCAGATCTAAGAGGTGATCCAGTAGGGTTCCAGAGGGAAAACACTGTTTATAGGATTCTGAACAGCCTCGGGCTTCCCAGATCAACAAAAGCCACCAGAAATAACAGAAAACATAATGGCCTTCAAAATTCCAAGGAACTAATTCCAACCCAGAGCTGAACACTAGCCAAAAGATTGACACATCTGGAGGTAATAAGTCATTTTCAGATGTTGGTTGTATCATCACATGTTCCTGTCACTCATCTCCTCTTACAAGCTTCTTAGGGTTTGCACACGAAATACGCTGCACACTGGCTTATGTTTTGAGCTCTTGGTGTCCAGGTGCTGGCCCTATCTGGGGACACTTTAGGAGATTTAGAAAATAGGATTTAGCTGAAGGAAGTAAGTCACCCAAAGACATGCCTTAAAGCTTAGACTGGATCTCCAGTTTGCTCCGTTTTCCACCATTATGGTGTTCTGCCCATGAGCCCCAAAACATGAACCAAAATGACCACAGACTTGACATTCTGATACTGGGGACCAAAATAAAATTCTATTCTGTTTAATATGTGTATATCAAGTACTTTATCACAGTGATAAAGAAGGTAATGAAGATAAGGCTCCTGGCAGAATTTCCAGGATGGGAAATCCAGGAGGGTGTAGAAGTGGAAATGAGAGCGGGAGATCTGACAAGAGTGGGGTGGAGGGGGTCTCACAGCCAGGTGCCAGACCGCGGCAGGGCGGCAGCAAACACCAGGCAACGGGGTTGAGGGCGCGGGGTGTCCACATCAGGCTATGGCTGCTGCATACGCAAATGCCTTCAGAGAGTTTGTAGTCGGTGTCAGGTTAACAGAGGGGAACCCCCAACTTTATAGTAGGAAATAAGTTCATAGCACCTAAAGCTCAAACATCCAAAAGCAGGAATGCAAACAGACTGCCAATTCTACAACAATCTCCGGAGAGGAAAGCTGTTTTCAAAGTCAAGGAAACTGGAGGGAGGTGGAGAGGGGATGGGATCACTAACTTTTGTGCTGTGAGGGTATGTCAGACATGGCTCTACCACTGGTCCATGGTCACAGCCTAGGATCGCCTCTTTAAATTTATTTTTTTAAGGTGATAGACAAAAGCCATTTTAGGTGTGGAAACTTAAGATGCTGTCTGACTCTTTAAGGAGCAGTGCCCATCGGGAGGGGTCTTGCCACCGCACACGACAGTATCTGGAGACAAAGCTGGTTGCTCTACCTAGGGAAGGAGCTTGGGTGGTGCTGGAGACTGGTGGAAGGCTCCAGGGTTGCAGTTAAACAGCCTACACCACCCACGGGCAGCCTCCCTCGAAGGCCATCCAGCTCCAGATGTCAATAGTCCCACATCCCGCTTGAAAACTGTTCAGAGAATTTTTTTTTGTTTTATTTTCATATACACATAAACATGCATATATGCACAGCCGAAATAGGTTTATAGATTTAAGAATCTATAACTCAGTGAACTCAAGCTAAGAACCAGAATAATTCCAAGAGACTTGAGAAGACATTCATAACTTAAGGCTAAATCTTTCCAGAGAAAACATCTGCTCTTCCAGGGGAAAGCCTGGACATTTGCAGTGTTTAAACTTCAATTTCAATTCCAAATATTACTCATGTCAAGGACGGGGGGG